CTGGAAATTGTGCAGTTATATCCACAGCAAAATTGATCACAGTGAGGCGCATTAGTTTAGAGGTAAAGAGCCGTCAACTCTGCAGCAGCGTTTTATAACTTACAGAGTTATGAGAAACTCCAAAGATTTCTGCTGACTGACATTCCTATTCACAGACGGGAGAGGTTTGTGTGTGCCTTTTTCAAATCTGCTTCAGCGGCTCAGTTTTTTTCAACTTCTTCTCAGATTGTCAACCATGCCTTTAATTTTGTAGTAAACAAAAGTGAAAATAGCAAACAAATAGGAAAACAGATGGCCTTATATTAAATTATGATTTGCACTCAAGTGATAATGAAAATGAAAAAGAAGTGTTTAAAAACATTAGAGAAAAGCAGCATAAAGGACATGTTAATCTTTGTGTACATGCTGAGGCAGGGTGCGTACTTGATGCACTTTCATAGTCCCTGGGACTGAATTAGGCCACGGAGCCACTGTTTTCCCACATTTTGTGATGTCTTCCTTCTTTTACCTCAAAAAGTCTCACAGATGATTGTGTGGACAGATTTTCCAGCAAAGCACCGGCATCTGAGATGTCTTGATACTTAAATCACTGTGTGGAAACTGTAGCACACAGATAAAACTCATTGTCGTCCTCCTCACGTCGCCTTTTTTTTTTAGATCCACCAGGCAGTGAGACTTCAACATTGTTGTATTCTTCATAATCATAATCATCATCATCATCATCATCATCATCATCATCATCATCATCATCATCAATCAATCAATCAATCGATCAATTAAATTTTATTAATATATTGCCAAATCACAACAGTCGTTGTTCCAATACGCTTTCTCAAAAAGAGCAGGTCTAGACAACGCTCATTGTTTGATGAATTACAAAGACCCAACCTTAAGGTGGGACAGATTTGACCCATCTCATCAGACATGAGTGACAGTGGCAAGGAAAAACTTCCCTTTGAAAGGCAGAAACCTTGACCAGGACCAGACTCATGTCAGACAGCCACCCACTGCGGCTGGGTTGGGGAGAAACACAGAGGGAGGGAGAGAGAGGAGTGGGAGGGAGGACAGGGGGATGAGAAAGGGGGGGGGGGGGGGGGGCAGAAGCAACATCTACGCCATCATCCTCACATCCGCCTTCTTTTTAGGCCACCAGGCTGTGAGAAGTCATCTTCATCGCTATCATCCTCCTTTAAAAGCCAAATCAAGACATAATTATTTGCACAAGCTTTTCTTCAATGTTTTGGGGCTGCTATGATTGTTAATGTTGTTGTCTTGGCCTTTAAAATTTTGGAAATTTAATATGTACATTTTTACTTTTCGTTTATGTAAAGCACTTTGTGAGTTTCTGTCTGTAAAAGGTGCTATATATAAATAAAGCATAGTTACTTACATCATCATTGTCCTCACGACATCTTTCTCTGGACCTTCCAGGTGATTGGACGTAAAAATTGTAGTAGTCCTCATCATCGCTATACTCATCATCGTCAATATCATCATCTTCATCCTCACGATGTCTTTTGCTTGATTTGCCAGGCGATGGGACATAAAAACTGTAGTAGTCCTCATTATCACTATAATCATTACTACTATAATCATCATCCTCAATATCATCCCTCTCTATTACTGGGAGTGGGGCGACTTGATCCACACCCTGGTCTTCCTCCATGGCGTCCTCATGGTCATCATTCTCTGAGTCAGAGTCTTGAAAAATGAAATTAAGCTGCCACTGATCAAGCGGTTGTAAAAAAACAGAAAAATCTGGGTGGTCACCATTTTCACCAACAATACTAATCACTTCAAAATCCTCCAAACCATCTTGATGGTCGCCTGTCATGTTGACGTTATGTGCCATTTTCTCAGTGGTTGAAGATTGAAAATCACTGCAATGTCTCAAAGTAAACAGAGCTTGCATGAACAGTGAGTGAGTATGAGAGTATGATTAAACTCCAGGGTTATACCCCCCTCTCTAGCCTTCTAAAACTGTGATGTCACGTGTGTGCCACGCCCAGATTTCAAACTGTTCTAGAATCTTAGAGGGATTTCTGTTTACGTTTAAGTTTTTCTGTTAGGTTACTACACTGATTACTGGGGTTAGAAGTGAGACTCGCACATTTGAAATGGTTGGTTGAAAAATTTACTCACAAATTAATTTTTTATTTGGGTAAAGCCTGTAGAATAAAGTGGCTCATTGCATCAGCTTTATGTAAATTGTGCCCATAAACTGTATATAATATGGACAACTTGTTTCCGCCTTCCGCCTGTATACGGATTTGAAGCCAAAAAGCTCTGGGTTATATCTGCGTTTTCTCTTCATTTGCTGAAACTAACATTGCGCAGTAGTATTGCACGCACTCCACCACTTGCGCAGTATCATTGTGCGCATTCAGCGGGAGAGTCAACGAGAGTCACTGTGATGACGCTCAGCTCAAACAGCATATCCCCTGGGTGAGCTACGCAACCCTTATACACCCAAAGACTGTATCAATTGTCAGTCATAGAAAACATGAACCCCCTAATAACTTTAAAAAATGGAGCTGTACAGAAAATAAAGAGGACTTGAGCACAAGCGGGGGGGTTATGTTCTGTGTAAAACATGTCAAAGCATAATAAGGTGGTGATAATTAATCTACAGCTAGTACAAAATAACACTGGCAACATTGAGGCATGACATCAGCCCTGACATACACTGATCCAACAGTACTCTTGTATTGTGCAGAGTTAATTATTCTCTCTCTATGAAAACAAATACAGGAGTATAGATTAAAGTCATCTGTTATTTCTATGGGACTTGGGAACTACAACAGTTGTAACTACAACATTAAAACTGTCTCAGCTGGTGCCACCCCTAAAATACATGCTATATGAACAGACACAACACAGAGTCCTGCGGCTTTACAGCACAAAGAGACTGATCATGGCAGCTGTGACTTTTTAAAGATATCAAGATTTGGACACTTAGAAAACTTCTTCAGAAGTGACGTAGGTTTCAAGAACTGCAAACTTTGCAGCCTCACTCGTGTATTCTGTCAGATTTCAAAATGCTATTATTTTGTTCTTGTCTACTTTGTAAACATTTGAAATGTTAGGTTGCCTCTGCTGAAGTATTTATCTTGAGATTTCATCTGTTTACTTTGATGCTCTGACTGCTTGTTAACCTTCATAATAGGGCTGGGTGATGATTTTTTTTTCCTGCCCTGAAGAAGGCCTCAGGCCCAGACTACACGTATATTGATATTTATTTATCAGGATATTTTTGTACTCCCGTCTAAATAAATGTATCTGTCCACACGCATTAGTTCTCAAAAATACCTGCGTCCACACGTAGCCTTCAAACTCAATCCTATCTGGTGCCGCTTAAAAGAAATTCAGGAACAAAGCTACCTGATTGGCCGATGAATCGTAACAGCGTGATGTGTCATGCATTGTTTGTGGAAGCTACGCTAGTGCGTCGGGTCCATGTGACGGACCATGTGACCAATAAAAGTATTGGCCGCAGTATTTGATTCAGATACATAAAAAAAAAATCTTATTTCAATTGTTTTAAAAGTTAATGTTTTTCTGTGTGAAAGCATTACAGCTCATAGTTAAGGCTGGTTTAGGCCTGGACCTGTTCTTAGTTATGCTGCTATAAGTTTGGAAGAACAGGCACAATGAGCTCCATTATCTTCTTCTCCACCCTCTTTGAGTCTGTATCATTAACTTTGAATCGTTATATTCCATTACAATCACGAATCCCAGAATTGCTGCTGTATCAATAAAGATGATTTTTTTTTAATTGATTGCTTACCAATCAAACATAAACAGGACTATTACCTAAGTATGTTAGCAAAGTGTGTATAATTATGACCAGCCATGAAGAAACTGAAATATAATTTACATTTCATACAAGCATGAAACCTTCATCTGTACTGAGGAAGAAAAACTGAAGGTCTTGAAACCTCAACATTTTCCGAGATGTTGCCTTTAAATGAAACACTTTGGGTTAGCCTTTATAGACACTGATTTTATGAATTTTGTATTTTTTATCATCTCTCATAATCTGAACATAATGAGATGTATAGGTATTTCTTCATGGAAATGCAATCAGACCAACTGCCGCGTCTGCAGTGCAAAATGATTAATATGGTGATTATTACTTCAAGGAAATGATGAAGTAATGATCAGAAATGTTCTTCCTTGAGCTGCGTCACCCCACAGCAGTCTGTAATGGACTGGCCTGAGGTCTTGCTACAAACAAGCGGCTGCTGGAAGAGAGTGGGTGAGTTGTCTCTTTGCTAAAGAAATTAGGCCAAGTTAAACAGATGTTTGGTGGCTAGTGCTATGGCTGGGACCCTATATGTACTCGCATTATTTGTGGCTTTAGAGTGGCGTTTTGGTTGAGGTTTGTTAGTGGCTCCTCAGACCACTGCCTATTGCCATCTGTGGTTGTTTCTTAAGTTGGTATAACTAGAGAAGCAAGCAGTCGGCAATATTCATCTCTCAAGGGGGTGTCTAACTCAATGTTAGTGTTTGACCCTAAATTTATTTTACGCCGCAATATCCTTTTAAAATGAACAAGCTCCATATACTGCCTTTGAAGAGGACACTTGATCGGTCTGGTGTGAGATTTTACAAAGAACATAAAGTTTTCCCTGTTTTTAAAGTCAGAGAATTACATGGTTGGTGTAATTTGATCGACAACAGTGTAGATCGTCTTGTGCTTCCTGTATCAGACTCAAGTAAGTATGTCCATGAGAGTCTTTAATTGCTCATGTTGAACATGTCTGAAGAGCTCTTCGGGGGTTTGATTTATGGAGGCCAGTCGCCGCCATTTTGAAAGTCGCCGGAGCTTCCGTCACCACGTGAGGAGGAAGCGAGTGAGGAGAGAGGACGGAGCAATCGAGCGGAGCGGCTGAAGCGGGGAGCCGGGGCCATCACTCAGCTCTACTGGTCTGGACTACCTGGGCTAACTTTAGCTACATGTGCTGAGGACGAGAGGGGAACTGATCTCCGCTGCAACAATGCCGACAGTAACTCTACCGCCGAAAGAAAACGCTCTCTTTAAGAGGATCCTGGTGAGTTTATTTTTTAGAGGCCGTTTTGTGTCCGCTTGCTGCCCGCATGGAGAGCGGTCTGATCGCCGGAGCTCAGTCAGGCTCTCCGGCTGAATGAGCTAGCCCGGCCCTGACCTGCGCTGTCACTGTCAAGACAAAATGCTTGTTCATGACTTTGTTTTGACTCTGGCATAAATGGTGGGGATTATAAATACAATGCACAAACTAAATACAATGGAGACAGTTTTAATAGTTAGACTTTATATCAGGCCTCTCTGCTGGTTTAACACAACAACCGACAGTTTAAGCTAGCTCCCACGATGGCTAGCTCGCTATCCGATGTAACCTAAATGTACGCTTCTAAGTCAGCTTCTCAATCTGTGTTGGTGTTTTAATATCAAAAACTCAAAGTAAAGCCAACTAATTTACCCGGGGATAGTTGTGTGTTAAGTTTACACCAAACGGAGGCCATGCTAACCTACTTTACCTATTAGATATTAGCTAATCGGCTAACGTTAGCCGGGAAGCGTCATGTTTGCTGGTTTAGCAGACTGAAGGGAACTGTCAGTGTTAGGTTAACTATGCGACACTAAAGTTTGTACTCATTTCTGTGAGCAGTGTTAGTCCGAGCCGCTGGAAGGGTCAGTGCATGTGTGGAGTAAGAGGGAAAAACCGGTGTGACTGTGTCAGCAAATCTGTAGCAGCCTCAGGCCTGCAGTGCTTTGGCAACTAGCTACCACCCATCCCTCCATACATACATACATACACCTCTCTGTGCAGTAGTGTTTGAGCTCTTGTTTAGCTCCAATGTGTATTTTCTATCTCGAAACAGTTGCTTGTTATGGAGCGTGAAAAGAGTGGATGAGGATTAGTGCTAAATATTTCAAAATGTGGGATGAGCTATAAAAGAGATGTAGTATGCAGCACATCCAACTAGTTGTTTTATGTTTCTGTGATGGCTATCTGGGTATGTTTTGGCGTTTTTGCATGGACATCTAGGTGCATACTGTCCAGGATTCATGTGTGAAGTGCAGCCACCACTTCAGCTTGCACAGACAAACACTATTGTTTGGAAGGTCAGGGGGCTCTGTTGGGAGTTGGTGGATGTTTATTTGGACATTGGCAAAAGGTTGGCATTCAGTTACTCTTCCTCTGGCAGGAAAACAGACCTGTGACCTGCACCTGATTCAGAAAAGTTGAGGCCTGTATTTACTGAATGCCGCACAGGGGTATTGTTTCCCCCGGGACTGCTGCTAAAATCTTTTGAATTGGCATTGAGACCTTAAAACTAACTTTCCAGGAAGTCCATGGCGGGGGTAAAGTTTTGCCAAACATAAGCGGTCGTTCTCAAGTCCAGTCCTTGAGTCCCACTGTCCTGCATGTTTTGGATGTTTCCCTGCTCCAACACACCTGATTCAAATGATCAGCTCGTTATCAAGCTCTGTTAAGTCTTAATAACGAGCTAATCATTTGAATCAGGTGTCCAGGACAGTGGGCCTCGAGGACTGGACATTACAACCACTGATCTACTGAATGAAGACTCAATTTTAGGTCCATATTGTCATTAAAACACACACACACACACACACACACACACACACACACACACACACACACACACACAGAAATATAGGTTATAAATGTAAAAACTGAGCAAAATTGTTTTCCATAACAAGTATACCTTGTGTCACTCAGTGTGGGATGAGTGAGTGCCATTGTGAACTTATTTTCTGAATCAGTTGATTGATACAGAAACTAAGAGGATTTCCCAGTTGAAGAATATGCTGGTTTGAAGGGGGACTCATGATGACTTTTCTGTGAAACAATGCAGAAAGTACAACTAAATCCTTCGATATTATAACACTTAATAATTTTGTTGTGCAATACGTAACTGCAGGAAACAAATGTTGAGCAGAAAACATGTACCGCACGTTGTCTTTCACACCCCACTACCACCAGTCTCCTGTTAGTCTTAGTTTTTCTGTTAGCATCTAAATTTGTTAGGTGGAAAATAGAAGCAGTCTATCTGAGGGACATGTCAAACTTTTCACAGCCAGAGAACTGTGTCAAAAACTTGTCTGGGGGACGTTGAGGGAGAGGGGAGGACGAAAGCCTTTTCTTCCTCTGAAGTGTTGCATGAATGAGAATCCCCTGGATAAAATCACTGTGATTAAGCAAAGTTTCTGCAGCGGGAATATGATGCGAGATTTGGTCTGGTTTTCTCTCTAGCTGTAGTTAGGACTGGACCACACCCCACTTTTACTTTTGCTTCCCCAGACTGAGAGCCCGAGTGCATTATTACAAGTTGGCAGTCCTCCAACTCCCGCATGGTACTGGAGTTTAAAGAGTTTCTAGTTTGTTCTTTTGGGGTAGTAGGGTAACACCTTCCTGAGGCCTAAACCTTGAGCTGGACCTTGCACCATAGACTTAATAAAACATGTTTTCATTGATTTTTCACTGTTCTCTGTGCACACACACACGCTAGCATTTCCTCTGCATTTAAATAGCACAATTATGAATTGCAGCCTGTTAAATGCTTCCTAGTTTCACCTGGAGCTACATCAAGGAATTTGCAGAAAAAGAGGCGAAATCAAAAAACAGAATTATGTGATCACTTTGCAATCACAGAAACAAAGAAATGATGGCTGCTGTGATTACTTTTCAAGTTGTGTAATCCCAAATCAGAGGCGCAATAATGGCTGTGTGTTAGTGGTGCAACGGATCATCATTGATCCGTGATCCGTTCGGATCGACGTGTTCGGTTCGGCACACATGTGATCCGCGGATCGATTTCTGAAAGCGGAGAAAGGAGGAGCTCGAACGCCCCGCGACACTTAAATCCCCTGTATGGGAGCATTTTGGCTTCCCTGTCAATTATGATGAAGAAGGAAAGAGGTCAGTGTACAAAACTGCGACGGAGTGTAGGCACTGTGGCATAAGAAAGCCATATGACAGTGGAAACACATCGAGCATGTTCACGCATTTGAAGCGACATCAGCCGGGTGTTTTACTGACAGGTGTTGTGCCGTAGATTGCACCCCTGCCGTAGAACGCACCCCCCGCATCCCCTCCACCCGTTAGCTTCTTAAAGTGGAGATAATGATCTCATATTTGATATGAATAGCCTGAATGAAATTATTAAAGGCAAACGCTGTTGAATACATCCAACGTAAGGAAAACTTGTATTATTTCGCCTTGTTATGTACTTTCAACCGCGCTCCCGTCAGGGGGTGCACTATACGGCAGGGGTGCATTCTTTGGCATAACACCTGAGATAAAACGAAAGCTGCCCAACAACCGCTCATCACCGCAGCATTTAAGCAGCCTCTTCCTGCGCAATCCGACCAGGCTAAAGCTTTCACAAACTCTATCGGTGTGTTTATAGCTGCAGACATGAGGCCGTATTCAGTTGTGCAAAACGAGTGCTTTAAAAACATGCTGAAAGTGCTTGAGCCACGTTACGACATCCCATCGCGCACACACTTCATTTTTGGTTCATTGTTACATTTTAAAGGAAGGAGATATGCCTGTATATTGTACTTTAAGTTGTTTTTCATTAATAATTATGTTAAAAAGAAGATATTATGCCCTGTGCACTACTTTTATATATTTTATTTGTCTTGTTTTTTTTTCTTTTTGCTGATCCGAAAAATGATCCGATCCGTGACTCTTGATCCGAGGAACGATCCGATCCGTGAGTTTTGTGATCCGTTGCACCACTACTGTGTGTAGTGACTTTGTATGTGATAATCCTTCAGAGAAATGTAATACTTAAAATAGAACTTCTAGGCATTCTGTTTAATTTCACTAATACCTGTAGCAACATGTCCACGACAAAGTAGAGTCCTCCTTTGGCTCCACGCTCAGCTCAGAAGGCTCAGTGGAGCTGAACCCAGTTAAACTGTTAAAATGAATTATTCAGATGCGTCCAGATGATCTTCTCAAACAAAACTGGATGCCAGTATCCTGAAGCAGTTGTAAGATTACTGTTGGATACTTTTGTAAGTGTGTCAAAAATAGTCAAATCAAATCCCTTTATAGCTCAGACTGATGCCTGAAAACTTCAATATTTGTGATTCTTTATCTCAAGCCTTGTTGACTTGTGCTTCCCCAAGCTAGGCCAACAATAACAGAGAGGTTTAAAACCATGATTCAGTCAGTTTTCAGATGAAATACAGATGTTTATGATGAAGTACAGATGTTGCATGGTCATTTCTTGTGTCAGTTCTTGAAATGAGTGGTGGCTTGAAAGGTCAGTGCAACATGTCTCACAAACTGTGAGTGCGATACTTCTGACATTTCCTTCCACATTTGACCATGAAAACAAACTAGGTTAGCTCTATTAGCTGATTATTTTCTGACCAATCAAGAAAAGCCTCTCATATCTGTATCTATTGTCAGAAGTTGGGTACAGTACTGTGTGGGGCCTGGTTTAGTTTAGTACAGTTTAGTTTGGTTAGGTACAACAAACCTTGGCCTTGTTTCTACAACAGACTGTACTTACCCTGGTGCTTCACCAAGGGGGCTGCCCAATGGCTTTATTTTTTTTTTTGTAGTTGATGTTGGCCAAGTAGACCAGTTCTTGATTTTTTCCCCATGAATCATGTGGATCCTGGGACAAAAGACAGAGAAAAATCATACTTATTCGCTCTGTGTCAGCCATGTTTATTCCACAAGTGTGAAAATGTACTATGGTTGTACATCCAGAACGCCTTCAAGAACTTGAGTCTCTTGGAGAGACTTCTCTTCTTTTCACCCAACAGTGTTATTCTGAAGCTAACGTTGTTGTGTCTGGGACAGTTATTAGGTGAAAGGGTGCTTTGCGCAGCTACAAAGTGCACATTCATTCGAGCTTAAGGTGAACTTTTGCTTGAAAGAATTGTCATTGATAAAGTTGGCTGCTGCTAGGCTATGTTACTTATCGCATAACATCAAGTTATGTGAACATAAAGGTTGGGGGCGAATACTCGGATAATCAAGTATTCATTACCATACACTACATTTCACCACTTAGCTTGCATTATTCTTAGCTGAAGTAACTATCGTGATGTAATTTCCCCGAGAGCCACTGAGGTGTACTATAGCCTGATTTACAATTGACGCATCTACCTTAGCTTACTTGTTTCCCAGGGTAAATGAAACAGTTAATCAAAGTCACGTTTGCTTTGTTGATTTTTCCATACTTGTTGAAGCAACCAAGTGCAAATAAAAGACAAAGGCAAAATCAAAGAATGTTGACAATGTTCATGGTCAAAAACTGTGAGATTGTCCAGCTACAGAAACACCTGCCATTAATTCCATCTTCTTCTACTTATCATGAACAGACAAAGGAATAAACGCCACCTGGTGTGGCACCAGGACAATTACAAATGATAAAGGTTTCAAAACACAAACCTAACAAATATATAACAGATGGCTTTAACAGTAACTCAGCTCAGTTAGCTTACAGGTACATGCAGCATGTCAGCCGTGACCAGGAAAAGTGATGTGTGGAAGTATTTTGACAGAAAGGACAACAGTGCAGTGTTGTTTTCGTTGATGATGACGTTGACATCAACGAAAACAACACTGCAGAATATATGTTTAGGGTTTGACTGACGAAATGCTCTTGAATTTTGCAACTCTGTTCGTCGTCCACCACTAACGTTTTCGTCTAGTCTCGTCTCATCAACATAAACGCACATTCGTCTCGTCACATTTCTGTCATCTAAGACTTTTATGTTTAGCTCGTCAACGTCACGTCTTCGTTGTGGGGAAAAAAAGGGGCGTTGACGAAAACAACACTGGTGCAGTAGAGGTGGGAATCAGTAGTGGCCCCATTATCATTATACTTGGGCCATGATACAATATTATTGCGATTTTTACAATTTCTAAACTGTTAAGCTAATTTAGCATTTGTCTTTCCTTAATGTTTGTCTTATTTACGCTGTATTTTATTTTCACATAACACATCTTGCAAACCTTATATATGTTGTACTAACTTTCTCCTGCTCCATGATGTCACCTCTGCCAACTTCACTGGACAAACAGTTGATTTTATTTTTCCATTTTCATAGATTTGACTTCACATTAACAATTAATTTGAAAAATTGATACTAGGTAAATGAGACGATATCACCAGACAAAATATCGCGATACTATGCTGTATCGATTTTTATTGTCCCAACCCCTACTGTGGAGATATGCAGAGTCAAACTTATGTGTCATAGAAATACTAGTTTGATGCTTGACCACATAATCTCGAAGTGTTGACAAAGTCATTGTCACCACAGACTCATAGCCGAGTCTTACCAAAGAGTCACACGTACAACGGTATGATTTGTACGAACTCGATTACTCATTTATAAAGTAATTTGATTACTCCAACATGTGGATGCCCGTCTCTAGGTACAGCTCATTGTTGTTCTGTTTATTTCAGCTGAGGCTCAAGACTGCAAAAGTCAGCTAGCCTGCTATTCTCTTAAACTTGAGTTGTGGTGATGGGAATACAAGCAAGATGAGGGCTCACCATACAAATCATACCAAACCATGCCAGACTATTGGGTGGAAATGAACCATTTAGGTATACTAGTTAGCAAGCATTAAATCGATGCAACACAACAGTTACACCTTACTTATTCTAACATCGGTACATGACACATCATTTGTTGATGTTTGTCAGTCGTGTAAATATTTGCCAACCACTTTAGATGGAGCCAATCCAGCCCTCTCAGAATTCTGCAGCTCCTCGGCTGACTGGAGACAATAAAGAGGAGGAATTGGCCCCCTCTTCGCTGCTCTCCACAAACTGATTTCCATGAGGTTGTAGGGCATTTGGGATACTCATTAAAAAAACAAACAAACAATATCCCAATACTTTTGGCGATTATGAGATCGTAATGATTGGAATCATTCGCATCCCTCTTATCTTAACTTCATTTTAATGTAGTTAAGTTGCTTCATGGGTAGCAGCACAACTTTTGCACCCTTCTAATCTTCTGTTGCAGCTCACTAATATGATGCTTCTGAGTTTAACCACATGTCTCTTCTTTGTCACAACCTTGCCTAACTTGGTGCTAATGTGAAGCATCAGTGCTTTCTAATAGGCTTTTAAAGCTTCTCCTGAAATCTAACACATGCACTCCTCCTTGCAGTGAGCCCTGCAGCTTGGAGCCGGTGGTCTGACACCCTTTCTCTCTGTAACTCAGGGGGCTGAGTTATTTTTGGGGCGGGGTGGAGAACATGCTGGATAAGCACAGCTGGTGGTGTAAATGTTGCTAAATTTACTCGAGATGCTCAGTGTGCATTTACTAGCATCTGTAAAATTAGATTGTGCAGAAAAACTAGTGTTTCTGACGGTATTGTCCACCAGACAACAATGACAAAGAGGCAGGTTTATCTCTTTCCTACTAACCTCACAACCCAGAACAGAGGGACGTTTCACATACATGCACCTGCTTTGTGCCAGTAAGCACATTTTAGTGTCACATTGTCCTTCGAACAGGTCAGTTAGAGTTCAGTATGTAGATGAAGCAGCACCTTAGACCGTCTCTGCTCTGCTCCTGCCAGTGGTGTAATCTTCCACTACTTTCAGCTCTGAGCTACTTGAAATTTCATAACCGACCTTGGCATTCTTATGTGTCGTTGACGTCATCTTTGTTTCACCAGCAGTGGGACAACGCAGTGCCATCTGCCAGCTTGACTCTTTCTGTCTCACTCAGTCACACGCACTCACACACGCACCCACCATCTCCCCTGACAGCCAGTGATCAGCTTAAAAAGGGAGGTGCTTTAGAGTTGATTGTGCAACTGCATACCTAAATATAACTTGGGGGCAGAAAGCTGGTAATAGTTCCTTGAAAGTTCCTGAAATTTTGTGTTTGAGACTAAAATGTATTCCATCACAAGAGGAGGACATTATTCAAAAGACCGTGTGTTACATTAATAAGAATACTTCCTTGAAATTCAAGGGGATTTTATGTCTGATCATCTCACTTGCAGTACATTGAATGTGCAGCTATAATTCCTGCGTTGATAAAAGTTAAATTTCTGGCTAAAGCATGGGGAGTGCTTAATTTTTAAAACCCATAATAACCAGTTTTCAGAACTGCAGAGACCTCACACATGATGATTACTGATGTTACTGATGATGACAGATTTCACTGTTTTCTTCCTGTGGTTGTTAAATTTGGCTTACGGGTCCTTTCACACCAGAACAGTTTTTGTCGTGCGATTATTTCAGACGTCAATTTTTTTTTCGAACCCGTATCCTGTCAATACAAGCCTTCACATCAGCGACGTTTTCCCATGCTGCGATATTTCGGCATTTATTTTTTCGGATCATGGTCGATTTTTTTTTTAAAGTTTCGCATACTGTGTGTCCACTTCTGACCAATCAGATTGCGTGTTGTTGCGACGCCAGATTCACCGGTATATCCAACATGGCCGACCAGCTGACTGTTGACGTGTCAGAGAACAGAGTGCTTTTTGATAAAAGACACAAACATTACAAATATAACGACCTGATAACGACCATATGAGGATGATTTGTGTGGTTAAACAGTTTGCTAAACGTCTTTGTTTTAACTTTCATCTGTGCTAACGTAAGCTACCGGTTGTTACCATAGTTTCATGTGTTTATCTTATCGCCTCTGATTGGCTCTAAGTGATGACCGTTTGGCTTTAGCGTGTGATGACGTTTCCAGCTTTTCTAGCCAATCAGAGGCAAAGGAGGCGGGACTTTCCCCGGCAAAAGTCTTCCCGGGATGCGTCTTTTTCCCCTAGAAAGTCGCAAAATTGCATCTGGCGTCAAAATTCACCTCCAAATATTTCATACTTTAGCGTCTATATTCGTGTCGGCCCCGGTGTGTAAGGACCTTAAGAATAAAAACCTTTGCAGACCATGGGAGCTAGCTGTTGCTTGCTGTGTTGCTTCCTGGTACATCCGTTGTAGTTGCAACTAGTTTTCTGACCGCTATCTCAAGTTTTATGTTTAGTATTAATTATTAGGGGTGTCCCAATACAACTTTTTCACTCCCAATACAGTACCGATATTTTAGCCTTCAATATAGGCCGATACCGATATTGATCCCATATTGGCACAAACTTGTGCGTAACAAGTTTTGCACTCCAAAGCTCCATGGGAGCTCGTCCACGCACGCACGCACGCACGCACGCACACACACACACAGAAGTCTGATCCTTAATTTTGAACATATTTAATATTTATTTCAAGTTTGGGCGGCTCCAGTCGTCTTCCACACAGATCATTGGGGATTTGTTGGAAGGGGGGGGATCAGACCCAATGGTCAGGCTGATCTTTGAGAGAGTGCCATGCTTAAACCAGACTCTTCTTCTCCATTTTGGTTCCATCAAACCTTATCCCTACACTGAAGTTCAGGGGCTTGGGGTGTCCATCAATCACTGCACCTTAAATAATAAAAAAAAATAACTGTGTTTACATCCATTAATCAACCCTCAAAAAAAATCATCTTCCCAGATTCTGACATGTATTTTGTCAGACACTACAAGAAAGCTGAGGAGCTCAGTCTGCTTTTTTCCAAACAACATTGTTTAAGCATAGAGAGTGTGTGGCCTTTTGGATATACAAAAGAATACTGGCCATTATCTGCATGTGTCATGTTCATACTTAGTAAAGTTCAAATGTATAAAAATAAGGATGAAAGAAGAGTAATAAACTTCTGCAGTCTAGGTTCATTGCTTTTCTCTAATCCTCATTTTTCTTGTATCTTTAAATGTGTTGTTTTACAGACCCCTTGCTTCAAGAAGCATCATCTCCCACCCTTCGCTTAATGATTTTTTTCTCTCGTTTTTACAGCGATGTTACGAACACAAACAGTACAGAAATGGGCTCAAGTTCTGCAAACAAATCCTGTCAAACCCAAAGTTTGCAGAACATGGAGGTAAGCGGAAGAGAGTCATGCAGGTGTACACTCACAGGCCCCGTGTCCTGTATGTCTAAATGTCTTCTGTGCCCTTGTCCCTCCTCCAGAGACGCTGGCTATGAAGGGCCTGACCCTGAACTGCCTGGGAAAGAAGGAGGAGGCCTACGACCTGGTGAGGAGAGGCCTGCGCAACGACCTCAGGAGCCATGTCTGTATCCTTACTCACAGTGTGGAGGTTTGCTGCATTTGTCCTTTTTGGGTGCAGACCCTCAGCTAGTGTGTCGGTAAAAACTAATTGTTCTAAATGAGGAACTAAGAACGTGCTCCTCGTGCTTTCCTCCTTTTTTTTTTCCTCCTTGTGTTTTACTTTCCTCCTGATCTTCCTCCTTCACCTGCTTTTACTCATCCTTCTCCTTTTCTCACCATGAAGCTGTCTGTGCTGTTTGAGAAAGTAGATTTTCCAAACTGGAATTTAGACAATGATTTAACTGCCATTTTTATTCATCTCCCTCCCCTCTTTATTGAGTTCAAAGTCCGAATTAACATGTAAGAAACATTTAAAAAAGTAATTGAAGTCGTCTGACAGACCAGGAGAGATGGGTTTGGTTGCAGTAACCTCTGCGTCTTTGACTCTTTTTTTGCTCCTTAACTCTGAGTCCCAGGCTGGCATGTTTACGGCCTCTTGCAGCGCTCTGATAAAAAGTATGATGAGGCCATCAAATGTTACCGAAACGCTCTGAAGTGGGACAAAGACAACCTGCAGATCCTCAGAGACCTGTCCCTCCTGCAAATCCAGATGAGGGACTTGGAGGGCTACAGGGTGAGTTGTCTGTTACTCTGTGACCGGGGTACAGAGCCCAGTCTAAGGTCCAAATCTGAGTGTAAAAGGTAGATTTAGGGAAATTTCAGTGGACCAACCCTCAGTGAAAGTATTTTTGGTGAAAAAAGAAAACATGCATCTATTAGTCTCATAGCCTGGTTGAAGACTCAGTTCAGCTCAAGTTTGAAGATGACGAGGCATATCAGCAGGCAGGTATCGGGTTGCAGTCAGTCCTCACTATGTAGAACAGTTCTCCTGGGACATAGCTCGGGCTTTACACTATAATTCACCGAGGACAGGGCCAGCTGAGTTCAGACTCTCCTGTGTTGGTTGTGATGTTAAACAATAAGCCTTTTTTTTTGGATGCGTTGTTTTCTAGGAGACACGGTACCAGCTGTTACAGCTGCGCCCAGCGCAGCGGGCCTCCTGGATTGGTTATGCCATTGCCTATCACCTCCTGGAGGACTACGAGATGGCTGCTAAGATCATCGAGGAGTTTAGGAAAACACAACAGGTTAGACCTGATGACAACGTTAGAGTTTGATCCAAGTGTTGTGTGTCTTTTTCAATGATACACCATTCAGGAGGTCTTTGATTGGCTGATTGATGCTCCATATTTACAGTTTTGTGCTTTAAGGCCAAACAGACTTTCTCTTTCACAGGGTTGTAAATATGGGCGTTGTGAAAAGGTCACATCTACAATAGAGCTCACTTTTCCTCCCTTTTGCTTGCTCCTGATAAGACCAGTCTGCATCCTGTCTTTGTGCCATCTATGGACCACAACAAACTAGCGTGACCGGGCAACTACCCATACACACCTAGAGTTAAATTAGGTTTCCTTTACAGCGGAGATCCAGAAATTCACCCCGCAGCTCCAGCAGTGTTCATTGTTCCTTGTGGAAAGTGTTGATGTCACCACCACCTGTTTGTTTTTCCAGACGTCCCCAGACAAAGTGGACTACGAATATAGTGAGCTGCTGTTGTACCAGAACCAGGTGCTGAGGGAGGCAGGTCTATACAAGGAGGCTCTGGAGCATTTGTCCACCTATGAGAAGCAGATCTGCGACAAACTGGCTGTGGAGGAGACACGAGGTGGGTCACAGTCCAAGTCCTCCATACAGTGCTGCCTCAGTACCTCTTGTACATTGATATCATGGTTTAAAAAAATCTCCTGGGCACTTAAAATAGTTCTTAATTTTGACCCAAACATTGAATTTATTAGATCAAACTTTATTGATCCTTTTGGGAAGGATTCCTTAAGGACATTGAACATTTGTGTATTTAACATACATACAAACGATATGTTACCAATTAAGTTGTCATATGCAGTGTGTATCTGTAGAGTATGCGCTCAGAGTCATTGTGCAGCGCTGTGGAGTTCCCTGTCAGCCGTCAGCAGGTCAGGACTAATAGAGAGCGTACAGACCAGGTGACACCACCGTGTCTCGCTCCTTTGTTTTCCTCTCTGCCTGCAACAGATAGAAATGTCACATGTCTTTGTGAGACGCTCAAAGGACCTCACAGACCCCAGTGTTGGCTGGCCTGTGAATGAGGAGAGTTAGCGGTGCTGTGACTGTGACAGAAGGTGGAGCAGAGGCACAAAGCCAGCAGGCAGGAGAACAACCGGAGCTGCAAGCGAAAACGGAGTCGAGCACCGTGTCTGCACGTTTGTGCAGAGATGTGGATACGTTGATGAGTTCTGTTGGTAGTAACCGCGTTTTAACAACCATCAAATACTTTTTTAACTCGTTTTGCTGCTTTGTTTACCAGTGTGAGCTCTGGTTGGTATAAAAATAGGGATTTTATTTTTTTTTGTAAGGATTAATCTCTTTTGATACTACCAAACAAAAAATGGAAACGTTATCATTTTTAAAGACATTGGATTGAAAAGTATTAAAATGTTAAAAAAATTGGATGAACTTAGTCTAAACTAGTAGTTCTCAAGTCAACTGTCACACCTGATTCAAATGATCAGCTCGTTATCAAGCTCTGTAATGGCTTAATAACGAGCTGATCATTTGAATCAGGTGTGTTGGAGCAGGGAAACATCCAAAACATGCAGGACAGTGGGCCTTAAGGACTGGACTTGAGAACCAGTGCTCTAAACCAACATGCACAGATTTTTGTTAGTAAATATTAAACAGTAAATTTAACAGCAATGTTTTCTGACTTTCTCTGTGGGCTTTAATGTAACTGTGAAATGTAAATATAGATTTAAAAAGAGCATTAAACTTTTTATAAAAAGGTACACTGCTAAGAAATGAACATCAACTTATTTCAGCCTCTTAAAGTGAGATATATGTATTCAAATGTTTCTTCAACAACCACCAAAACAAACCAGGTGTCTGAGAGTGACTTGAAATGAATCTATTGTATTTGTTGAATGATGTATTATTGAGCTAAACGAGTGACTATGTTGCACAGAAATTGCAGAGAAGTGTAGCTCAATGGGGTTAGCAATAGCGGCCACACCCTGTCCTCACTTTAAGCAGTGGTCCTGATATTTCATCAGTTTGACCTTTTCAAAATTAAGCTTACTCTTACTGTTTTCTCTGTGCTGCCTTCCCCGGTGTGACCTTAAAAACTTAAAAAAGAGAAAGCCACCCAAGTTTTTTCATTTAAACACAACTTCAAACTATAGGTTCAAAGTAAGGTAGAGCAGCTTCTCACACAGGAGCTCTTCCCTCTGTGTCCACAGGAGAGTTACTGTTACAGCTGGAGCGTCTGGAGGAGGCAACAGAAGTGTACCACCGTCTGCAGGAGAGGAACCCTGAAAACTGGTCCTATTACCACGGCTTGGAAAAGGCACTCAAACCAAGTAAAACACATTTTCAAATTTTTTTTTAAGGGTTCCCCAGCATGATCATCGTCAATAATCAAAATATATCCGTCTATAAAGCAGTAATACTTTTTTATGTCCTTCTCCAGGTAGTGTCGAGGAGAGACACAAGATCTATGAGGACGCCTGGGAGAAGTTTCCTAAAGGACTGGTTCCTCGTCGGCTGCCCCTCACCTTCCTCTCTGGTGTGGCTAATGTTGTGTTTCCTCTCAGCTAAAGTCATGCGAAGTGATTCATATCTATTAAGTCGGGGAAGTGTATTTAAAATTTCCTTCATCTCTTGACAGGTGAGAAGTTCAGAGAGTGTCTGGACAGGTACTTGAGGATGAACTTCAGTAAAGGCTGTCCACCCGTCTTCACCACCCTTAAATCACTGTACAACGACAAAGAAAAGGTGACGGCACTGCGGCACTGAGCATGTCAGACGACTGCTCTAAATCTGAATCATGATGTCACTACTTCCTTACTTAAACCTTCTTACGTAACGAACCAGAGGAAGTGAGGTCAATCAGAGGGAGAGCCTCTGGTGTGATAGCTTCAAATTAAATTACACATACTTCATATCACCAGCAAACTCACGTTCAGTGTTCTCTGTCTCTCCACAGGTGGCAATAATTGAGGAGTTGGTGGTGGGCTATGAGACCACATTAAAAAGTTGTCGAATGTTCAACCAGAATGGTGAGGAACAATTTCAAATCAGGATGATGTAAAAAGGCTGACTTCTGTTTATTTTAGTGTCGCTCCATGATCCACGTAAATGCTATGAATACTTTATAAACGCTTATGCAAAGTGTTTCTGAGGATCTATTCTGGGTAAGATAGAAGTCAGCAGGTTGACATCTCCGCTGCAGACAAACAGACTCGAGGATATTCCACGATCTGAATTATCAGTCAAGGCGATGCTGATGTGCTCTTGTACTTGCCAGAAAAATTGAACACAGGAAGGAAATGTGCCAGACTGTAAACGTACAAAACTAATGTTTAAGCTGATGAGGTTTTTAATCAGTGATTGGAAAAACTGTGGATCCAGGGCGACAGTTTCACTTGCATTTGCGAGTAAAAATAGATGTGTGCGAATTGCAAAATGTATGTAGGGGCACATGTACGCTTAAAAAATAATCAGCTGAGGCAACAAATGTTTTTTCATGTAAATACTGCAGTGAAGTTAGTTTTAGGTTGGATATTCGATGGACATTCACTGAGGATCTATAGGTGTCTTCTCACTCTCCATAATCGGGAATAGCAACAGCAGTGCGGTTAAATCTACTCGGCACCCTCGCTGTCGTCAGGTGTTGAATAAGGGACCATCAATAAGTTACTGGTTGATCTTATTAAGGCCGTTTCCCTTCAATAGCTTTCATGTCATGTGACCAATTGACCTAAAATTTATTTCAAATAAGAGTACTTATTACTTATCGACCAATAAGACACACATTATTTGATCAATTTTCATTGTGCCCCTAAAGTTCTTTGTGTGCTCCTAACTTTTTCAACTGAGGAGCACATGTGCTCCTTGTGAAAAAAGTTAGTGTTAAGCCCTGGGATCCATTTCATAGGAGGTGATTAAAACAGGTAAAAATGCTCCTCAGTTTTAGCTAACAGTTTGTTCAGATGCTACAATCCTCAAGCAGGTGACCCGGGCTTATTTTCAGCATGTGGCGCTTGGCTGTCCTCTCTTCTCAGACTTAAATCGTAGAAGGCAGAAAATGTTTCTCAGAATCAGTCATCTACCATCTTTGGGTGATGAGAGGTGTTATTCCACTGTGAGACTGCGGTTATGAAAAGACTTAACAGTCAAGAAGACATCGGTTTTAAGCCTCATTTTCTTTGCTTCACCAACGCCGTCACTCCTCGGTCAATTTAGGAGACGAGTTTTGTCAGGCTTTTGATAAGAGCTAATATATAGCTCAATTTGGGTTCTTACCACAGACTGTGTTAAACCAGCTGCTTACTGACATAAACCAGGGGAAAATCATCAAATCAGGGACATTTAGAAAGACGCATGGAGGTGATGAAGGAGACACTTGCTGCAGATAAATGGTTTAGAGAAGGAAACAAACGGCGATGTAGCTGGTTGTCCTAACCGACCCTTTTATCTCGTCATTATAAACAGTTTTCGCCACAATTCACGTTTTCAGCTTTTTGCCTTTTGCTTTTCCATCTCTATTTAGTCAGTAAAAAATGACCGAATCATAAATGTTTCTCTTATCTGTATGTGTGTCAGGTACCAAATCTTCTACACTCTGATGCCTTCAAATAAAAAACCTACTTCCATGTGATTTACTATAAATTTACCGTCCGTTGAAATAACATCATCATTATAATGCAAACTTTGTTAGGTCTGTCCCTGAAAGTATTTATTTGTTAAACAATCAGTCACTTGTGATGCATATTAGGAAGTCAGGAAATCTGACCGCTGGTGTGCTTCTCTAAAATAGTGTCGAGCAAGTTTGTGTCATATCTTATCAAAGGAGACAAATAATCATCAGGTTGATGTCGGCGGTGCATGTTCCGGAATACCCCCTAGTTTGCTTAAAAGGGCTGATCAAATATACTCAGGCTACAAACGTACCATGAATGAAAAACAAAAATGTTTACCATGCAAATAAATCCAGACCCAACAGATCAGCGATGGATCACACTGATTTTTTACCTCACAGATGTAATTGTTTCAGTCCTTTGTTTAACCCTTGACACAAACTAACACCATCTTTTTTCACGTGGCAGATGATGGTAAAGAAGAACCCCCAACCACGTTGCTCTGGGTTCAGTACTTCCTGGCACAGCACTATGACATGATTGACCAGCAGACCCTGTCGCTAGAATACATCAATGCAGCCATTGAGAGCACGCCTACACTCATCGAACTCTTCCTTATCAAAGCCAAGATCTACAAGGTAACCTGATCAACATTTGTTTGTGTGTCGATTGAGAAACAGAGAGTTCCCCTGGTGCTGTTTTCATGGATGTCGAATGACCTTTATTCTCCTTCAGCATGCCGGGAACATCAAGGAGGCAGCTCAGTGGATGGATGAGGCCCAGGCTCTGGACACAGCTGACAGATTTATCAACTCCAAGTGTGCCAAGTACATGCTGAAAGCTGGCATGATCAAGGAGGCGGAAGAAATGTGCTCCAAGTTCACACGGGTGAGAAGATCTGTGTGCACACTAGGACGAACTGACAGCTGACAAGCCAGGAGACGTTTTGAGAAATATCAATACGAACTCAGGGCCCCATTTCCTCCTGAGTACAAATATGAAGAACTTGTAAAACTGGGAAATCTTTAGCTAATACTTGTGACCTTCATGTAACCCTGAAAAAAACTCAAATTCCTTTTTTTTTATTAATAATCTCACCTGGAAGATTCACACTGAATTAAAAACACAAGCCTTAACTGTGAGAAATATATGAGGTACAGATACATGACAATGCTGAATTCTGAAACATTCATTTTAAAAAAGAAAAGATTAGTCGTGCTTTTTTGTAAAAATATCATCTCGGTGTAACTACATTGATCCGTTGGCGCCTGCTTTAAAAGAGGCATCTGTTTCTACAAATGAGTTTCACAGCCTGGGTGAATCTAAACAAGCCTGGTCATGGGACATTACCCTTGGGAGTCTGATACTGCTTTAAGACACAGCCACCCATGTTGTTGTCTCCTTAATTTGCACCCAACTTACTTACGTGTGCCAGCATGGCTGCTTAGTTTCTAACCATATAGTCACCCTGTTTCCTCACATTTGATGCCATAAAATCCCCCCACTCATTCTGTGTTCCTATGATTTTAGAAAACATCAATGAGGAGAAAAATGTTTCCACATTCAGCTGAAACAGTTTGTGTAATCTGGGCTTGTGTTTTGGTTTGTTTTTCTATAGGAGGGAGCTTCAGCAGTGGAGAACCTGAATGAGATGCAGTGTATGTGGTTCCAGACGGAGTGTGCACTGGCATACAAGAGCATGAGCAAGTTTGGGGAGGCTCTGAAGAAGTGCCATGAAATCGAAAGGGTGAGTCGTTTGAATTAAGAGTTATACAGGCACTGATTACACATTCCTCTTTAATTTTCCCCGTTTTCCTTGCATGTGTGGGTCATAACCTCGATTGTTTCGGTCTTCTTTTACCTTCAACAGCATTTTGTAGAGATCACAGACGACCAGTTTGATTTCCACACATACTGCATGAGGAAGATGACATTACGCTCGTATGTGGACCTGCTCAAGCTGGAGGACGTACTCCGAATGCACCCCTTCTACTACAAGGCTGCCACCACGGCCATCCAGATCTACCTGAGCCTCCATGACAATCCCCTCACAGATGACAGCAAGGAGCTGCAGGCTGACACTGGTGAGGCCAAGACAGAGGATACAGGGTCCTCCTCAGAAAAACTTGATTTGTAAATGCTCTTAATACTACTAACACGATTAGAATATTGAGAACAGGCTTCATGTATTTTTAGGATTCGTGAGGTGTAAAGTGAAATACTTGAAGCCATCATTTGTTGTACTTTCAATGATCTTGTCTTACAGATCACGAAAATCAGCTCCAGTGTCACAGATATCGAGGATATTTCCTCAAATCAATCACAAAAATTTTACTTTTAAAACATTTTGTCATTTTTATATTAAACCTTCGGTTGGGAGTTCTTGACCATGAATGACTGATATGTTTGGCATGGATGTTTTTCATTCTCCTATTGACAAATGTCACAAAGGTTCTCTGTAAGGTTTAAGTCTGGTGAATTTGGCGAAATTATCACACGGACAAAATACCATGAGGCAGTCGTTTTGACACTGTGAGCAGGTGCATGTTGCTGCATTCCAGTTACTTAGGATGTCGGAGCTGGGAATGACACTACACCCTAGTTGATGGCGTTCGAGTTACCAAGACAAATGTCTACTGTTAGCCGTTGTTAGCTGTTGTTTCAATTTTCAGCTGTTGTTAGCCGTCGTTAGCCGTTGTTAGTGGTTGTTAGCAACGCATAACACAGTATTTTACTCGTACAAACACCATAGCACCGACTTCTGAGTACAACTGGAACGCAGCATGAGTCCTGCTCAAAAGAATAACCACTGTTGTCATAAAACCTGTCAGCAAATTGAAGCAGTGCTCCAAGGTTCCCTGGTAGACTTTCTTAGGTAACTGACCAAGTGTATAAACTTTTTTCACAGCGCTTCCTTTTATTGAGTTGAATCTCTAGTAAATAACATGAGGCCACCACATTTTGTTCTTTCGTCAACACTTTTTTTTTTTTTTTTTCTTCCAGCTAACCTCTCGGACAAATAGCTGAAAAAGCTGAGGAACAAGCAGCGGAGGGCACAGAAGAAGGCCCAGCTGGAGGAGGAGAAGAAGAACGCAGAGAAAGAGAAGCAGCTAAAGAACCAGAAGAAGAAGAAGGAGGATGACGATGAGGAGATTGGCGGCCCCAAAGAGGAGCTCATACCAGACAAGCTGGTCAAGGTGAGAGAGAAAACAAATTAAAGATTTTCCAAACTCAGTGCACTTGAAATACAAGGTGATCAGTTGTCGACTGTTTTGTCATTTGTGCCTCTTTTGTCGCGTCATGATCACAGGTAGAAAATCCACTGGAAGAAGCTGTCAAGTTCCTGATGCCTCTCAAACATCTGGTCAAGGACAAAATCGACACACACCTACTGGCCTTTGAGATCTACTTCAGGAAAGGTCAGCAAACACTCTCATTCATTCATCACTGACTCCTCATTAACTTTATTTTGGATGCTGCGGTGCTCAGATTTACAATGTCTCCCCTTAGAGAAATACCTGTTGATGCTCCAGTCAGTAAAGAGAGCATTGGCCATCGACCCAGACAACCCATGGCTACACCAGTGTCTTGTCCGCTTCTTTAGAGGAGGTATGACACAGAGCTTTCTTTTGTTTTTTTGACCTGTTTCTAGTTTTGTCTGCTTACTGGTCCTTCCAGCAGCACTCATAACTCGTTCCCTCTCCTCCCCGCTTTCAGTCTCGGAGAGCAAGGAGCTGCCGGAGGTGGTCAGGACGGTGCTGAAGCAGGAGATCACCCGGCTCTTTGGTGACAGTAACGCCAAGAGCTTCAACCAGGCCTACCTCACCAAGCACTCTAACTCCATACCACACCGGCTGGCTGGTAGGCTGCTCATGCAATCTCATACTCAAAATCCACTCATCAAATAAAACACTATGAATTCATAATGGATTCAGCTACTGTGCTGACTACAGTGGCACTTACACCCGTGCTCTGAAATTGTTGAATTATCTTTGAAAACGAGTTTGTGTCCCCACACTTTTTTTTTTTTTTTTTTTTTCTCCGTGTATGTCATCTGAAAAGTATTTGATCGACACGTTTATTTGACTATTTTGGTAAGATAATTGAAGGGGGGCAGTGTTGTTTTCGTTGACGAAAATACTTTGTCAGTGCCCCTTTTTTTCCACGACAAAGACGTGACATTGACGAGCTAAACATAAGTCTTAGGTAACTAAAATGTGACGAGACGAATGTGCGTTTACGTTGACGAGACGAGGCTAGACGAAAACGTTGTTAGTGGTGGACGACGAACAGAGTTGCAAAATTCATGAGCATTTTGTCAGTCAAACGCTAAACGTATAACCTGCAGTGTTGTTTTCATTGACGATGACGTTGACAAAATATTTTCGTCATCGTCAACGAAAACAGCACTGAAGGGGGGGATCATGCTTTTCCATATTTACAACAAAATCTGCAAAGTTACAAAGTTCGGTGTCCATACTACATGGATTCAAAGTTTCAAACCATAAGGTCAACAAATGTGACTGATCTGAAAACAGAGACCAAAATCTGGAAACTCTGTTGAATCGAAAGCTAACCGTGCTGTTGCTTTCTTAATGCGGACATTATAGCCGTGGCCTGTTTGGTTGGTCATTGACATTTGAGTTTTAGCTTTTTGTGGAGGCTTTTTCTAGCCAATCAGAGACGAAGGAGGTGGGACTTTCCCCTGGAAAAGTCTTCCCCGGGATGCATCTTTTCCCCCCCGGAAAGTCGCAAAATCGCATCGGGCTTGATGTGTATAGTCAGGCGCGTCAAAATTCGCTTTAGAATATTTCGTAATTTCATTTTCTATATTCGCGTCAGCCCCGGTGTGTAAGGCCCTTTACTGTGTGTTGTGCTGTTGTTCTAATGATGCTGAATGTGTTTGATTTCATCCTAAATAATTAAAAAATAACCCTAATCCAAATCGTTGATTTTTTTTTTTTCAGGACCTCACTGGTCATGAACACCAGTTTCCATGACACTCACAGCTGTTTTTTTGCTTCCTTCTGCAGCTGCTAAGATGATGGCGTATCTGGAACCATCGACAGAATCTAAAGCAGCGGAACTGGCGACTGCACTCGACGAGTCACTCGACAACAGAACCATACAGGTTTGTTTCTCTGAATTCTGAAATGTAACAAGTAGTAACAGTAGTTTCTTCCCCTCAGAGCTTCCTGCTTTAATTCCCTCCTCCTTTGTCTTTCCTCATCAGATCTGCACAGAGGTCCTGGAGTGTCTCCGAAGCGGCACTCTGGGCGACTGTAAGGACCGCGCAGAGTCGTACCGCACTGAGTGTCACAAGCTTTACCCCTACACATTAGCTTTCGCGCCCCCTGGATACGAGGAGAACACCAAGATCGCCAACGGAGATGTGTCTTTGGAAACTGAGGAGCTAGCCAATGAGATGTGAGCAGGACAGAACAACAGTGGATGAGAAAAAGGAATGGGGCCGAGCATGAAGCCTTGTGGTACGCCTGGCAGCCGTTTTGTAGAGCCAGTCACGGGAAGCGAAAAATGGTTGTTTCGTTCTTTGGCTCAGCTTAATCGGGTCTGACCTGGCATGGCTTGGCTCTCTCCCACATGGTGAAAATCAGGACTGTGTGTTTGTGTGTGAGAGTGTGTGTTGAGAGCATGTATGAGGTTGTGTATATTTGTGGGAAAAGGGGGGAGGGGGGGGGGTAAAGAGGAAGATAACTGAACGGCCATTTAACTTTTTAAAAATAGAACTGACGACTATGCTGAATATGAAATTAAACAGTAGTTATTGGCAAACTGTCAGGAGAAACTGTGACAGACTGACATGGACTTTCGGTTTCCTCGAATATGATCAGTAACGGTGACAGCAACCACCCGAGTTTGACTCGGCGCTGCTCCGACACACGCCTATCACATACTGTGTTCCCCCTTATTTTAAAATGCTAATTTAACCGAGAATAGGACGCAGCTGTCCCGGGGGGGACTGGAGACTGAGCTGAGTGGATCTGATCTGCCACAGATCTGTAGGACGCTGAGCAGGAAGAGTTACCGAGGTCGTGGAAGTGACACTTGAAGACATCCAGCAACCGCAGGTGTATTATCTGACGTCGCACTGTCAAACTGCTGATCAACACGTGGCAGTGGGGTGTGTGAAGATCTTTGCAGTGGGGCACAGCAAGGGGTGAAGCAAGCCACCTCACATGTAAACAGTTTCTTTTGAATCAAACTGTGCTTCCCTCACAGTTCCCAGACAAAGGTGGGAATGTTATCTTCTTTCTGTAGTCATGGAGCACCTCGTAGCACAGATTTTTAACTGTAAAGGTTCGGTGTTGTGCTCCAATCTCAATACACTGCTTCTCTCAAAGGTTTTCACTTCGTTCTGAGAAAGTTGGATGGATCCAAGCAATACCACAAAAACCTTCCTGTCTAAAATGGATCAATAAAACTCTCTAATGCCGATTTCTGATATGGTTTAAGTGGTGACATGGAGACTGCTGGCAGAGTTTTTGTTCTGATGTTTTTGCCAGAAATGGTTGTATCTGCATGTAACAGAGTCTAACAGTACAGCGGGAAAGCCTGCAGGACCTCAGACTTCAGAGGCTCCTCTCTGCTGATAAAAACAGCTCCTCCAAAGGTCAGAGTGCAGGCTCCAGAGCCGACAACCCCGAAGTGACAGATGCGAAAATATTTCACGGAGCTAACATTTTCAAGAAGTCAAACGTACAAGAACTGGGAATTTGTTGTTTTGTTTCCTCTGCTCCCCCCTTTTTCTTCTCTATCATCCTCTTTTCTTCCCCTTTTTCCTCTAATTTGGGTTCTAATGTGAAAGATGAAATCTGAGATGGCGATGTAAGATATCTCTGGATTTTTGTATTAAAACTAAAGGAAAGAAAAAGAACGACTTCAGTTCATCCTTATGTGCAGCTGCTGCTCTCAAGACAAAGCTTCGGTCGGGTTCACTGTTGCTGTTTTAGGGTCAGCTGGAGATGATGGCGTGGATCAGGTGTTTCACGTACGACAAAGCTAACACTCAGAATGTGAGGACAAAACGACCATGAAGATCACATCGGTCGAAGTTTAACTCGAGTTACTGACCATGAAAGTTTTGAACCTGAATTTGACCAGACTTTTTCAGGGATCAGATGCAGAAATGTAATTAGCCTCACTCTTCAAAACTTTTCCGTCCTCAGGCACAACATTATGAGATCGATGCAACACTCCAGCAACTGTCAAATATGATGCATTATGGTTGGTTTTTTAAATGCCCAACCTAGACACCAGATACTAGTCATGCCACTTCCCAAATATATCTACAGAATTGTCAAGAGGTGATTACAAAAAAAGTAAAACAAACACTATATTGCAAAATATGTTTGTTTGTTTTTTTATCCAAGCATTAGCAGACCATCGGATTGTGAGAAAGGACAGAAGCAGGATTGCGTGAATAAAACTGAACATTGTTACCAAGAGTAAACATAAACTCAAAAGAAGCAATAAATCAGTTGCAAGTTTATCATAAAAAGTAAAGGGATGTTAATTTAGATCATAAAAACTAATGAGGGACCGCCAAAGCTGGAGGTCAATGACCTTTTGCCCACCCCAGTAGAGCAAAAGTTTAAAAAAGACAAACAGGAAGTCCAGAAGACCTTTTTCAACTTTTTCTCTATTAGGGTGGATGAAGGTTACTGACCTCCAGCTTTGATGGTCACTACAATTTTTGTTCATTATCCAAACTGATGTTCTTTTACTTCATTTTATCCACAGGCAGCAATGACTGAGCAGTAAACACACCCCATATTATAAGGGCATATTTTTTCTAAATGTTGTTTCTGCACTTTTTTCAATTAAAAACAAGGTTGTAAATCTTTGCAAACCATCAAGATCTGTTTCTATTAAAATTTTACACCACATCCCAAGTTTTGTGGGACTCTGGGTTGTGGTTCAGACCCTTTTTATTTCTAAGTCTGCTGTTCTTCACAATCAAGCAGTTTTAGACTATTTGTGCATCAGTTATTGAAAACACACAACATTCATGGTAGCAAAAAATCTTTTAATCACGTTAGTCATCCCAGTCTACAGAAGCCCAAGGCCAGAAAACAAGGCTACGGTTTCTGGAGATCACGAATTAATTTTGTGGTGGACTAGAAACACCAGGCTGATCACTGTATGTGGTGCAGTGTCTGAGAAAACAGGGGTAAAAGATAAATAAACCATGTCCGCGGAAGCCTTGTTTTCTTAAGATCATGAGAAAACTATCTTGTGATATCAGGGGTAAAAAATAAATAAATAACCCATGTCTGTTGAGGGCTTCCATACCTGTCTAACAGCAACCTCTAAAATCTAAAAAGATCTTTTGTTTTTACGGTGACGGTGCAGAGGAGCAGTGCCTTTACAGATGAATTGCAAAAATTTGATTGTAAAGTAAATCCAGCAGGGGGCAGCAGCACGATGCTTCTTGTGGAGCATTGTGCCACAAGGACAGCCAAGCCTATAATGAGGAGGAGCAAACTGTATGGGTGAGGGAGGTGACTGAAGTGAGGAGTTGGCTTAAATGGATTAATGATTGGACATCCAGCTAGAGTTCAGCCCCCCTGGACCTGAGGCTAAACTCGAAGTGGATGAGGATTTCCTGTTGAAAAGTGAGTTAGCCAACTGCAGAAAACATAAAAAGATTTTTGTCAGTGAACAAAAAGGAACACAGAACACTCAAATCTACAAAGATGCAAAAAAATGGACCACATAGAAACAAAACAAGCAATTGGCTTTGGACTTAATAGCCAGATCTATAAGCTACACGCGAAAGACAGTAAGGAGGAAAAAAATACACTCAGCTCCAAAACTATGAATAGGGCTGGGCGATAAAACAATAACGACATATATTGAAAATTAATAAGAATAAGAAAAACTTTATTAATCCCTGAAGAGAAATTCAATTTCCCTCATTATCAATATAAAACATGACCAATATGCTTTTCAATAGTCGGCATTCTGCCATGTTTTGGTAGACTACGAATAGCCAATGAAAAGGGGAGCTGCTCCAGGTCCACTTCGTGGTAAACCAATCATGTGCCAAATTAGAACCAAGTAGCAAACAGCTTCTTAGTAGCAGGCTGCAGCTACACCCAATCATAACCAACTCCGCTGTTGGTGAGAAAAACAGAAAATGAGTGCTAACCCCGGCAAAAATGCAGATGAAGGCTCAACAGATGATGACATCGTCGACAACACTGGCACGAAAACGTCAGTGATGTGGAGGTTTTCGGTTTTTTTGAGGTCAGACATGAAGCAGAGTAATGTGTACTGTAAATTATGTCGAGTACATGTTCTTGCAAAGTCAGGGAATACCTCAAATCTTTTTCACCACCTGAAGCAGTGCCACACGGCAGAGCACGCACAATGCCAAAGGTTACAAACCCCGAGCGGAGCAAGGAGCCCATGGCGACCATTCAGTCCACTTTCCGCGTAAAGCAACGCTTTAAAACGTCAGAGACACAAAGATCTCACAGATGCAGTAGCTTATTGTATTGCAAAAGACATGCTACCAATAAGCACTGTTAAATTTCCTTTTTTATATCGTGATATATATCAATATTGATTAATATGAAAGAAAAATTATCGTGATTAACTTTCGCCCAGCCCTAACTACGAAAATACAAACTGCTCAAACACAAACAACTAGAAAGATGTAGGCTATCCATAAACAACACAGGGACACAAATGTATCAAAAAGGAAGTAACTAACAGGAAATGACTCTTTCTGCTGTGAAAGAAGATATACTGGGGGCTTTGGCACGTTTATGCCCCCTGCTCGTTATTGGACGTTACTGGACCACGATCCGCACATGGAAGTCGATGCAAAATTTGTTGGTAAAAGTATAACTTTGAATCATTTTTAACGAGACATTCAAAAATGAGCGGAAAAACTCTGAGAGTCGATCAAGGATATTCGCAGAGGGGTTTAACCAGTGGTTCTCAACTGGTCTCACTCTGGGACCCACATTTTCCCATGGTCCTTAAGTCGTGACCCACTCTTATAAAATTCAAACCAATCAAATTTATTTCTTATAAAAAAAAAAAAATTAAAGACTCAAATCTTTGACATAAATACACCTATTTTACTGAGTAAGGTACATTTCAGAGCACATGAACTGAGGACGACAACTACTGAAGTTTCGTATACAGAAAATATCAAATTGCGCACAATCGAGACCAGCAAAATGAAAAATTTGACTTATTTGCTCCTTGGCATTCAGAGCATATTCAGAAGAACCCGAGGAGGACAAAAGTGAATAAATAACAAATTGCACAAAATAAAGAGCATTAAAAAAACATGTTATTTTAATTAATAATCATTAATAAGAAACCTGAAGAGGACCACAACATAAAAGAAGCTTTTTTTTTCCAAAATAAAAGACATTTCAAACATTAGATGCGCATTAAATATTTACTTTTTTGACCAGCTGTTCGCGACCCATCCAGAACATGTCCACGACCCCCTTTTGGGTCGGGACCCACCACTTGAGAACCACTGGGTTAAACCGTGCCAAAGCCGTGTGCTGATGCCTGCTCGTCATATGATCAGCTCTCCACCCTCAAGACTCACACACTCACCATGCTGCCAACCGAGACGCACACAGGGAAACTCCACACACTTCTCCTCTAGCACACCCGCTTTAGAGTCTATGTGGGTCCTTAAAAAGTTATAAAAGGCTTTTTTCACCTCGAAAGTCGTAAGGTGGCATCAGTTCAGTTTTGTCTGAAAGTGAAACTTCGAGCGCGTTTTTTTTGCGCTTTTTTTTTGTTCTGGAGGATTTTAGTGCAAGTGAAGGGTCGATGGAGTCCTCTCTTGAGTTGTCCAACTCCATGAGCAGCGTGTCCTCTCTGCTGAACCGGTCTCGGACCTTTAAAGTTCTTGTGATAGGGGACTCCGGAGTGGGGAAGACCTGCCTCACACACCGACTCTGCGCCGGACAGTTCCCCAGCAGAGTGGAGGCCACCATCGGGGTGGACTTCCGCGAGAAAGTGATGGAGATCGATGGAGAGAAAATAAAGGTAAATCAAGGTTATCGGCCGCAGTTTGGCATCACTTTCTGCACTTTAAATACCGACAAATCTTAAAAGCCTTGTTGTGAAGGAATCGACCGCACGGGCACTTTTACGCGCAGCGCAGATCCGGTTCTTTTGTTTTTACGTCCTGAACAAACGCTGCCAATGCAGGCCGTGTAGCGTTGGCTCTTTTTTGGTAACATATTAATCAAGTCTTTTCCCATCAAGCTGATCTCTGTGCAGTGGCCCACTGAGTTACTCGCTGTCTGAAGAAAACAAAAACCCCCTGAAGCAGGTGTGAGGCCCAGCATGATCGATTCAATCAGGTGACGGAGGTGTCCAGACTCTCTTAATGTGACTTTATCTCATTTTTAACAGCTCGCTGCATTGTTCGGCTCCACATGTTCCCAGAGGCTCTTTGGAAAGAGCTCTAACCTTGCAGCGTGGCTCTGCTCAATGACTTTTTTGTCCCGCAGTCAATAACTGTGAATTCTCTGGATTTCAGTCAATCAGCAGACCTGCCAGAGTTTGCAGAACCAAAGCACAGCTAATGCTGCCCATAAATCACTCTGAACATTGAGTGCATGATTATAGTGGCATGTTAGCTGTTGCACAAGTAAGCACAGAAACAAACTCCAATTCATGACAGGTTTAGTTTCAGTTGGAGCAACAGTTTGTTTTCAATGTTGGTTCAGTCTGAATTAGGTTTTGATGCAGGTTTCTAAGATGAGTTTATTGTTAATAACCTTTATCTTCAGTTTAGGGTTATTAGTTTGAGTGTGAGTTTTTCATTGCTTTTAAAACTAAAATTGAAACTTAAAGGGATATTCCGGCAAAAAATTAAGTTAGGGTCAAACACACCGTAACACCGAGTTAGACACCCCCTCGAGAGCTGAATGTTGCTGACCGCAGCCAACCGCAGAAGCAATACAGAGACCCATGCGCTCAATCAAAAGCTACTCTATAGCCACAAATAATGTTCAGAACAGCACCTAACTTCATCAACAGTACATATAGGGTCCCAGCACAGTACCAGCCATCAAACATCTTTTTAGCTTTGCCCAATTTCTTTAGCAAAGAGACTAAACACAACTCACCCACTCTTCTCCAGCAGCTGCTTGTTTGTACGGGGACCTCCGGGCGAGTCCATCGACTGCTGTGGGGTTTCGCAGCTCAAGGAAGAACATTTATGATCATTTCCTCATGGAAATGTAATCAGACTGAGACGCTAAGGCAGAAGAACTACCACGTCTGCAGAGCAAAATGATTATTATGATGATTATTACTTCAAAGAAATGATAAAGTAATGATCATAAATGTTCTTCCTTGAGCTGTGTCACCCCACAGCAGTCGATGGACTTGCTCGGAAAGAAATTAGGCAAAGCTAAAAAGATGTTTGATGGCTAGTGCTGTGGCTGGGACCCTATATGTACTGTTGATGAAGTTAGGCGCTGTTCTGAATATTCTTTGTGGCTATAGAGTGGCGTTTTGGTTGAGCGTGTGGCTCTCTGTATTGCTATCTGCAGTTGTTACTCAAGTTTGTATAACTAGAGAAGCAAGCGACCCTAACTTAATTTTATGCTGGAATATCCCTTTAACTTTTGTTTTATTAGCTAAAAAAAAAAAGTGTTGTCGGACAGTTACCAAATCTTAGGTCTGAGGTCTTGCCTCCTCAATGTGTTGAAGTCCAAGTCAAATCTGGTTCTCTGGGGGGGGAAAAAAGGATCTGTCAGTCCTGACTGAGTCGAGTTGCTACTATTTCAGCCCTGAGTCCTCATTAGTAGTAATTATTCGCCTCTACAGACGACTGCTGTCTCTCATTTACTGAACTTATGCCCCTGTATTGTGCATAAATGCCTAAACTGGCTGTCTCAATGAGGAGATAAGCTTATTGTTAATGCTCATTGCTTACTTACTGATTGGCACACACCAGTGTTTAAATAACAAAAAGTCTTGGAGCTAATGGTTTAGTCTGTTCAAGTTGCTAACTTTACTGTTGGCATGCTAACAGGGATGTAATCAACAGTTCGAGTAACTGAAGCATTTCACTTCTTTGGCTGCCTTCTTGACAGATTGACAAGTTCTCCCCTCAGTCTTCTATTATAATGCAGTCCTTATCCAAAGCTTAAAGGGGAATTTCTGTATTTTTCAACCTGAGCCTCATTTTCCATGTGTCAGTGTGTGCTTTACTGATGGGGAGAACAATTTCTGAAGTTGGTCCGGTAATGAGGGAGAGCAGAGCAGCAGGCACCTACGAAATGAGCTGAACAATTGCTTGACTGGACGGTTGCACATCATCAAACTGTTTCCACTACAGCTACATCATTTCACCACTGACAGTCTCAGAGTGTTATTAAAGTCCAGAGAACAGGATAGCAATGGTTTCCCTCACCTTCCACTTGCGCCGGTATGTGTATAACCAAATCTCGTTGGTGGAATAGTGTCGTTCTGATGTCTTTCAAGATCTCACTTGTTGTAGGATGTGAATAATATAATAATCCATCAGAGCTACCATTCATATTTCATTGTTTATCTCTCCTGCATGGATTACTGCATACGCCCAAAAGTTTTTGTGTACATTAATTGCAGACAATAATTCTTGATTCAACTCACACCAGTGCAGGACGAAGTCAGTAAAGAGGAAAGATGGGCCACCAAAATCAACACAAACAAAAGTTTCTCACAGGAGCTTTGAATTCGTTGTAATGTGGGGTCTTTGTTTGAGGGTCAGATCCAAAAAGGGTCTGAAAATGTGTTCAGGTACAAAAGATGAACAACAACAACAACTATGCACAAAAGACAAACCAGAAAGCCTTTGAGTCATCATGAGCTTGTGGCGGATGTATGACATAACCTGACCGAGTTGAACCCCAAGACTTTTTCTGTGTGACATTGCTTTAGATAGTTTGTAAAGAAACAGGGAAGTGTCAGCAGTTTTTGTATAGCCTTTTAAATTTTTTTATGTTCTGGGTTTTCATCACTCTAAGCTTTCATTTGTTAAAAACCAGCCTGAGTGAACATGTTCTGTATATTTGATTAATGTGGGTTGTGGGTTGTGGGTTGAAGGTGGTTTGTGTGGGTGTTTTGTGAGTGTTTTTAGACAGCCACATGACAGGAAGTGTCTGTGTAAACAAGAAGAGGTTTGGAACTTTGTGTCAGTGAGACACAAAGAGACTGTCAGTCGGAGACGGTGGACAGTCCTGCAAAGGCTTTAAGCTTTGTTATATGCTAACAATTGTGTCATTTCATAGGAACTTTTTAAAGAAGGGACAAGTCCTTGTCAAGATTTAAAGGAACCCTATTATGACATTTTTCATCAAGTTTAAATTGGTCCCAGAGGTCCCACAATAGTACGCTCTGTGTGAACGCTGAGCTGTGTGTAACCACGCTCTTCCTCCTATTTATCATGTCGGGTGGGGGGAGGTTGTCAGCTTCGAGGGGATGCATATTATTGGTAGAAAACCACCCAAAAGTGGATTTTTCATTATAGGAGACCTTTTAAGGCAAGTCTTAAGTCAGTAAATTTAAATTCAAAGCCATGACAATCCTTGAATTGGTGGAGAAGGGTCTCAGTAGATCCATGACTTGTGTATTCATAGTCAAATCAAATGAGTGTCAGTTCAGTAACAGGACAAGTCATGAGTCGGTCAAGTCCAGGCTCAGTACAAACCAAGTGTCGGGTTAATTAATTTTAGGGTTAAACAAAGTCCCAAGCTCTAAATAGACATTTATAAAATATATAATATGCACTCTTAAGTCAGTCTCATCAAGTTTTCAGACAAGTCATATGACATTTAGGAATGAATCCCATCTAAGTTTGTAGTCAGGCAAGTCATGTCTCAAACCAGACCTCAAGTCATTCATAGCAAGTTTTAAGAGACATCAGGAGTAAATCATGTTAAACAAATCCCAAGTGCATTAGTTCAGGTCTCATGTCAGCCATCTCTCTTGCCCATCTGGCCATGTCTCAAGTCAACTGAGTGTTTTCTGTTTCACTTGTTCTCAAATTTTAAAGATCTCTAAAGTCGGTGATTGAATGAGTTACCAGCTCAGCCTTTAAAAGTGAGTCTGAGTTAAAAGTGTTGTCAGCTGTGTGACGATAAAAGGCCTTTTGTGAATTAAAAGAAGAAAAAAAACAATACAAACTCAAATTGTGAAGTTTTCTTTTGAACAAGTTTTACAAAAAGACGGTAAAAACAGCCGAAGGTCACCATCAAGACTGAGCCGAGAGGTCTGGCTTTCTAATAAACAGATCGACATGTTTTTGCCTTTTCTACATTTCCTCTCTCTGATGACTCATCCCACGTGTCTGTTTTTCTGTTTGGTTTGGGGGCATTTCAACACATGATTTCTTTCCCTTTCTGTGGTTTTGGTCATTTTAACTTCCTCTTTCCCGTGCTTTTGTATCCCCCACCTTCTCCTCGTCTCTAAACTTCCACGCTCTTTTGTCCTGTCTCCATCAGCTCCAACTGTGGGACACAGCCGGGCAGGAGCGTTTTCGCAAGTCCATGGTGCAGCACTACTACCGAAATGTCCATGCAGTGCTCTTCATATATGATGTGACCCGACCTGCCAGCTTCAGTGGCCTGACCGCCTGGGTGGAGGAGTGCAGACAGAACTCCCTCGGTCAGGACATTCCAAGGTAGCTCTCTCTCTCTCTTTGTCAGTTTGGCCATTTCCATTTCAGTCAATCTACACCTCATCCTCAGTCATTTATCCCTCTTTGCTGCCTGATCTCAAAGGTTCCTGGTAGGCAACAAGAGCGACCTCCGAGACCCCCATAGGACCGAGGGCCAGGTCAACCAGGATCTGGCGACGGGTTTTGCCAAAGCCAACGGCATGTTATTTTTTGAGACCTCCGCCAAAAACCCACCGAGCAAATGTGTGACAGTCAAACAAGGTGGTGGTGAGGTGCCATATCAGCAGGACAAGCTGGAGGACATCGTTGTTGCTCTTGGCGCCAAACTGAAGAGGCAGAAGAAGATTTCAGCAAACACCTCGCCGTACACCGGGTCCTTCAACGTGAGCAGGAAGAGAGCGGAGAAGGAGCAGTGGACCTGCTGCTGAGACAAGAAAAGAGGGAACTTTTGGTTTTTCAAATGTAACTTTTATCTGTGTGTGTGTGTGAGTGTGAGAGAGTGAGAGAGAGAGAGAGAGTGAGAGAGAGAGAGAGAGAGAGTGGATATAATGTTCATGATGTTCCCTTTTAACCAAAGACCACCAATGCAAAACTTTGACTTCTGAAATGCAGTTTTCCCGTCTTTATATATATTTAAAAATGTGAAATGACTTGATGAGAATTTTGTGTATATTTTTGATTTTATTGTTTACATAGCTGACAAATAAAAAGACTGAGAATATGATTTGGAGAGGGTTTGGATCCAAATTGATCTTACTGCTTTTCTGCATTTACTGGATACTGGCTCAATGAAAAGCAACCATGTGGTTTATGTGTAGGTTCTCATTCATCCAGGTCATGGTAATCCAGTTCTTCATTGAAAGGGCACCTGGACTTGTTTGAGGTTCTTGAAGACCTTCCTCCTCTCTTCCAAAAGGCTTCTTCAGTTCTAAAGGGTTCTAAAAATTAAATGTCAAACCTTCTTGCCCGATGGAGGATTGGAGATGTTCAACAGTTCATGGTCTCCTATATATGTTTTTTTTCTTCATGGGGCACCAGGTGTTTTTAATGGGTGACATCTGAAGACAGACCAGTTCACTACTTAAACTTTTATACCACAGAGCCATGGCTGTATATATTGTTCAGCATTAGAGAAGCCTTCCCAGGGTACTTATGCATCCCCATACCATCGTATCACAGCTGCTGGCTTTTGAAGAGTGCACTGATAACAGAAGATGAAATACCCATAAAATAATCCGATTTTCAGTTTCAGGATTTAATTAAATTTCAAACCATCAAATTTTTACTAGCATTTAATATAGCATCCCAACTCTTATGACGCTGGTTTTGCATGAGAAAACTGTCAGATTAAGACTGTGAAAATGTGGGATCATCAGAGTTTGTTTTACAGTTAATGATGTGAGGGACCACAGACATGATTGCTTTTGTAAGTTTATTTGCCGGACACACTAAACCTTCTGATCAAAAAATTTACTCAGACTGTAGTTTAAGATGTCTATGTTTGATATTGTAAGATATATATTCTGGCCGGGTATGTAACTGTACATAGATTCTCTAGTCTAATAGCCACCCTGCAGCTCTGTAATCTTGTGCTTTATAAACAAACACACACCTGTGCTGCTCTTTTCTAGTTTTTTTTTTTTGTACTTCTGACTCAGACCAAATATGTAAAGATAAACCATGGAGATCTGGAGTTAGTGTTTGTCGTCCAGCATGTAACTTTTAGGATTGTTCCACAGCTTTGATGAGCCACAAACTCTGAGGCATTGTTCAGGGTTTGCTGCGATGCAAAAATAAAACTTTGAAAATGTATTTAACCACGTTTTCCCCTCAGATTTATTTCGAAGATTTTGGCTTTAAATGTTTATTGATTTATTTTTTATGATTCTGAGAAACTGAAATGTCTACAGCAGATGAAAACAGCTGTATATCCAGACTTGTTACACTGTAGGGGGACAGTTGGGTAAGTTGAGCCACCCTCTATTGTTTGGAAATGGTCAAAGAAATTGATCATGTGACCAAATATTTAGGAGATGGGCATCAATTCATGGAGTCTGTGAAGGTTAGAAGCATATAGATGACAGGGTGAGACATTTATCTCCAAAAAACACATTTTTCACTCTTGAAAGTGAATTTAGTCTGTCATAAGTTTTATCAGATCTGCATTCAGACCAAAAAAAGATCACTTTAAACTTGTTTTATACATCAATTGTGGTATCTATGAGCTACAACATGAGGTCAAAAACTTAGCATAAAAGTCCACCATTTTAGCTTAGAGCAGTGGTTCTCAAGTCCAGTCCTCGAGGCCCACTGTCCTGCATGTTTTGGATGTTTCCCTGCTCCAACACACCTGATTCAAATGATCAGCTCGTTATCAAGCTCTGTAATGGCTTAATAACGAGCTCATCATTTGAATCAGGTGTGTCAACTTACCCCATACACAGGGTAAGTTGACCTTAGGAGACAGTTATGTTAACACTCATTCTGTTGGTTTGCAGGGATGCACAACATCCTGAAATATATGCAGACACCCTAGTTAGAGACAAAACTGTGATTGCCTTGATGCAGTGATCCGAAATATGAAAAACGGCTCATCTTACCCCACTCTCCCCTATGTTGTTCTTTATGAGTAAATACAGTGTGATGTTGAACTTTATACTCTCTAATGCAGTCTAATCCTGGCTAGAGAACTGTGTGTAGATGGATCAAATATCACAGCAGTCATGCACCGGTCTTGTGCATGAACAGTGTGGGCGTCGGAAACTGTATCACATGTGTGGTGATTCTGTGTCCAATTGCTGATTCAGAGGTCGTCACATGATGAGGGCAAACCTCTTGAGCTCTATGGTCCAGACTCCTGCATGCAGAGGGTGTGTGTGTGTGTGTGTGTGTGTGTGTGTGTGTGTGTGTGTGTGTGTGTGTGTGTGTGTGTGTGTGTGTGAGGAAATGCCAGTGTCACATTGGTGCAACATTCAGCAGCTAAATGGCAGAAGTCTTTCTCCACGCTCAGAGGAAGTATCAATAAAAGGAAGGGAGTTCTGTTTAGTTCCCCTTTAATGTTTTGTCATCAATGTTTTCTTTAAAAACTCTTATGTAATGAGTTATTTGAGTTTACAAAGGAGACAAAAGAGTCAATTATAAGGACTTTAACGTCCAGTCTTAAGACAGTAGAGGTTAGGACTGTCAACTCATACTGAGAAAAAAGGAAAGCCTAAAGCTGTTAAAATCAGTGCAAACCAGCAAAGGTATGTCCAAACCATAAACCTCTGGACAGAAGAAGACCACCAGTGATGACTGTTAAAAAATGACCTCTCTTTAGGGGTCTTTTCAAAATGTCATAAAAGTTTTCTTTCTTTTTTTTTTGTCACTTATTCCATGTCCGGACTGTTCTAAATGACAACAAAATCAAATAAATGTGCATATATTTTCTGATATTTAGCTTCTTACTATAAAATTAATAATACTTTATTAAAAAATCTAAGAGGAAATTTCCAGCACACTTACTCTCAAATCTTTTTCAGAATTTTTCAGAAACAGAAAACGTTAGTTTCTCATGTTTTTGACAAAGAAGTCTTACCTGCCCTGGTTTTCCTGACCTTGTTTCGGGTCTACATTACTTTGGGCAAAAAAATCTGCTAATTGAATCAGTAACACTGTCATATTTACCAGAGGGATTTGGTAATTTTACTTACCAAAGTCCTGCTGGGTTCACAGTGTAGATGCAGCCCCATCTAGTGGCTGTTATCTAAGGTGAAGCACAACAACAAAAAAGCCAATCTCCTCTGAGCGACTGAGTGAGGAAGCAGAGGACAGAATATTTTAGAAAGTTTTCAAAATGACTGTGAAGGATCCTAAAGTAACAGTCGAGTGTATCTAAAGATGAAAGAAGGAGAGAAAAAAAAGTTATGTGATGAGTAACCAGGAACAATGAAGAGTCAGAAAATCACCAAACGTGGTGTTGGTTAGATTAGGTTGAATTTATTGTCCTCGTGAGGAAATTCATTTGCAGTGAGTTGAAAAAACATACACAAAGAAAACAGCCATACACAAATTCAAACACCGTCCTACATAAAAACAAACAACTGAGGAAAGACAATATAAAAATACTATTGTGCTGTACTTTGTCAAATAAAAAACAAAAATATATATAAAAGTATTCCAATGGATAGTCTTATAGTTAATATCTGTGCTCAGACGAGCTGAACCAGAATCTAAAGATAAAAGCTGCTCACAGTTATTTTAGTTTATTTAATTGTAGGATCACCTGTCTTCCTTGTGCAATTACTTCTCTCATAATGCAAAAATAAAGGATCGCACAACGATGACAGATCTACAGCCACCATACCAATCCCTCAAAGTATAAAGTTTGATTCTCAGCTGTTTATTTATTTGCCTTTTATTTCAGCAGGGAGGACACACAGAGACAGCGGCCTCCTTTTCAGCAGTTCAAGTTAGTGTCTCAATATAAAACACATGAAAGCACAGTTAAAAATAGTTTTACATTGATGAACAAATGAATACCTGCAAATGGAATAGATGGTAGTTTCCTGTATCTGCTTTTAGTCAATTATCTTTATTTAACTTGTAGAAATAGGACCAGCTGTCAGTCACACATCTCCAATGGCTTCATTTTAAATTCAGGATTAACTATTGCAAGCTTTCTCTGCATTTTGATGCTTTTATTGTTAGAGAGTTGGGGTTATTTCAATAAAGTTTCACATGAGTAGGACTCACTAAATCTTTGGTCAACCTACTTATTGGCAGCATAGATCTCCACACACCAATTATCTGCTTTGATTTAAAACCATTGTTAGTCCTTTGACTTTGTATTTTGTCAAGAAAAAGCCGAACAAAGTCCAGCAAAACCCTGAAATAGAAATGAAATTACACAACTCTGAAATCGGACGATCTAACAGCTAACAGACGGTATGCCAGAGTCTTTCAGTCATATAAAGTCAAATTTGAGTACCATAAGACACCGACTCTGTCAGTCTGATAAGTACACTCAGGAGCTCTGGCTTTGTTCCACACACTTGGCCCTGCAGTATGATAATCACTGTTAGTTACTTGAGTTAAATTTCTGAGTGAAAGAGTGATAGAATGAAAGATGGCTATAATGGACTGGATTGTGGCTGCAGTGTTGCAGAGTTTGCATGGTATTGTCAAAAAAAATGTTCAAATATTTACAGGAGTTTTGCAAACACAGTAACACAAGACGAGCTTCGTCACTAATGAAGCTAAATCCTCATCTGGATCTATCTATGGTTTGTCCTTTGACTCTGTTGTACCTCCCTGTTTAACCACAGGAGGGTGATATACGCTCTTCACGGCCTGCGCACACACACAGGCCTTCCATTCAAAGGTTTCATTGAGACAGATACAGCAGGCAAACATTAATTCCAACTGTCAGTCATGATGTTTTATTATAAAAGAGCTGAAATGTCTCTCTCTTATCTGTGTATTAAAGGTTTTCTCAGCATGTTAGAGGCCTTCTACAGCCCTTGGACAGAGTACAGGCTATTATGCAACCACAGCTCACTCACTGTCTCTTTCCATGCAGCCACATGGCTCTGTAATCCTCTTGAGAACAGCTTGAGGGATGTCTGATCCTGCACACAGTTGACAGCAGACAGCATGATTTCACCTTGTTTTAGGGGTGACTTCTATAAATATCAGTGTAAAATGTAAAGTCACCCCCAAAAAAAGATCCTCTATCTGCAGTGACAAGCTCCAAACACAAGAATTGACAATATCCTGTTGTCACCAGGCTATCACAAAACTGCCACAGGACACCACAGAGGTTTCTTCACCGTCATGGGATTGTGGCCTGCAGGGGGCGCGCCAGAGCACCAGTCCTAATCAAAAGGGGGTGTGCACTTTGCAATCAGCATTGGACAGCAGCCTAGCGCTCCTCCTCAGTCATCTTTAAAAACCTGCAGGAAACACGCGGATTCACATTCATTGAGCTGCTGCTGATAACGGAGTGAAGATGTTCTGCAGACGGGCATGGCAGAAAGTCGGGCCTCTGGCACGGAGGGCTCTCAAACCGATCCCCAGAACCGGTGAGCTGGACTTACAACTAACACCCCCTTTTGATAGATTTTTACACGGTTTGTTTTCTCATGAAACAATCAAGTGTGGTTTGAAAAAGTGTCGTTTCGAGTGTTTGCCTGCTTTATGCGGTGACTTTCTGCTCAGGGTTCAAACAACTTGATCAATTAATCCATTTTCTCACCCACAGATTTGTCAAGAGCTCAAAGTGTTCAAACTTGATCAAATGCATTAATTTGATCAGTTTAATCTCATTGGAGAGATTTCCTTTTATCTGTGTGTTTAATAATATTTTTTCTGTATCTGAACGTGCCATAAAGGCGCATGAGGGTTTTCCATTGTGCAGCCAGTCAGAAGGAGGTGTGTCCTGCTTTGGGAACACGCAGTTCTTGCACAGTGGTTATGAAATAGCGCATCACATACACGACACAGACTGTTTTGGTTTTACGTTTTTAAACTAGATGCATCAATTGCACTTTAATTCGATTGGTGAGTGTTTGCTTTTTAGAGTATTTTGCAAACGCAGAGCACTTTTAAAACGATTTATCGTCGTGGTAACACGTTGTTCTGGAGTTCTTTATGTGAGCTTCACCACATGGATATATCAGTTGTGCTCGACATCAACATTAACAATCCTGAATTTGGCAATTATAATTAAAACTGATTTAACCTGGCATCAGTGTTAAATACAGGTCCATCAAACCTGAAGAAAGTGCTCTGCTCATGCATTTTTAAATTAAAACTCCACTTTGGAGGGTTTTCATGGGTGTAGGGGGAGGGGAATTTGAAGCTTGATCACTTCTATTCAGGATGTTTTTCCTTTCATATGTCCTTGTCCACATCATTTTGTGTCTGAGCATGTGGAATTCAGCCTGAGGGGCAAACTGCAGCTTTAATTTCCTGTTTGAAAAGTTTTGTCCCCCCTGACTTTGGACTTGCTCACACTTCAGTTTGTAGCCAGAGTATCCTCAGTAAACTAAAGGGGGAAAATGGCTGTTTGTCAGGGCCTCACCAGTTCTCCGCTGGTTGTCCTGCAGGTCTGCATACCCCGCCCCTCCTTCTCCCCCTGCTCCTCCTGCTCCTCCTCTGTCTCAGTGAGCACATGGCACTGACAGACAGAAGCAGGAGAGCACCTTCACACAAACATATACATGTCCATACACATGTGCTGCTGCTGCTGTCATAGCAGCCATTTTGTCTGCCGTTGCCTGACATGCGTGTCCATTTTTACAAGCTTGGACCTCAGCGCAGGGATTAACTGATTACTCGTATAAATAACCTGTACTTGGACTTGTCCTGCGTAGTGCTGCTGCTGTGTCATAGGTATTAGAGGAGAGTGAATTTCCTACTACAAATCCAGCATCCACAACACAGCCATGCCCTGATACATCCCCTTTTTGAGATTCACTTGTTTATTATTTACTGCCATTTTTTGTAATTGTGCTAAATCAGCAAAAAGCCAGATCAGTTAGGCTTAGATGTCTCAAACATAAATGGCTCCAAAGGTGAAACATTTGAAATACAGTTTATCTCCTAAGTTCAACAAAGTCTAGATATTGTAGTGCGACAGGGGTTTTAATGCCTGACACCACTGAGAGAGGGGCTGGTGTCACCTGAGCAGCTGAATTTGATGTTTTATCTTTTTAATATTGTTTTAGTGAAAGGCTATCTGTTTGGTATCAAAACTCCTCCAATCAGTTTTCAGGATGGTGTAATTGCTGATTGCGCTATGACCTTGGTGGTGTTAAACATTTAAAGCTCCTGTGAGGACCCGTTGGTCTGTGTCAATTTAGGACAAAGTAGTTTTCACCTATCTTGTCTTCTGACCAAAATGATAAAACAATAAATCTCAGCATACTGACAAATTTGTTTTTAATTGGGAAAATGTAATGTGAAAAGTGTAAATACAAGCTGTTTCTTGAGCTGGTTTCAGGCATCAAAAATTACAAAGTTATGTTTGTGGTAGTCCTGTTTGCTTTTGTATATAAATAAAAGATGTCACTTTAAATTTCAGTGTTTTTGATTGGTCAAAAAAACTCCCCACAGGAGCTTTAAGGTCTTAAAGTAACAGAAAACAGTTAAACCATTACTTTTAAGTCACTACACTGTGATCCAAATGAAGACAGCGGCTCATTTAAAGAGTTTTATGCAGGTCTGAACCACCCAAAACACTTTGTTTATTGTTTGATACCAGCTAATTATTCTGTTTTACAACTCACCTTGACTAGCCTAGATGGTTAGCATAAAGGTTTGTTCTTGGCCGTTTGGAAAGAATCAAGATACTTGCTTTGAAAGATGTGCAGCCTATGAGATTATGACCTTTGCCCCAAATGCTGGTTATTGAGCCTTTTTCCTATTTTTAGTTTAAAAGAAGTGATATTGATTGAAACTGATCCCAGCAGCCAGTGAATCTGCGACTGAGCAAACATCCAGACACAACAGGTGACACTTTTTTATGTCTTCATAAAGATATAACCTGTCAGAGTGAAAGTCACAGGACGGCTCATGATTAGCTTGAACATACATGAAACATGTGAAGGACAAAAGGGGGCGTGTTGTGTGCCGTACATTGTGTTCTTTGCTGCTTCAGATGGCCTACTCACCTCTCTGGGTAAACCACGTGCATGTTGCACACACTGATTGTGTAAATCATGCTAAAGATATCATATGTACTGTAAATGTGTGCATGCATACAGTCTTTAGTGTGTATACAAGAAGTGTATGTGTGTGTGTGTGTGTGGTCGAGGTTGGAAGAGATTAGGCTGAGATAGTATTTGGGATGCAGGAAGGTTTTATTTCTGGCTTCCTCTGCATGCACCACTGGCAATCCTTTTAAACACCAGCAAATCTTTTCCTTTGGGATGTGCAGAATATTGAGCCGGTCACTCTCACCTGGGTCCAAAAAAACAGACTGTCCAGAACTATTTAAAAGATCCTCTGTAAGTCCAGACTCCTGAGTTGAGTTCCTGCAACTTCAAGCTGTTTGTTTTTGCATACTGAAGCATGTTAAGCAGGAAGTGTCTCAGTGTTTGTTTGTGTGTTGGGGGGGATGGAAGGGTTAATTAAAGGGACAGTTCGCTGTTTAGTTTGGCTGTGGCTAAATCTTTCCATCTCCTCTGCTGCAAATGACCAGGACTTTCTTGTGTAACTGGATTAGGAGATGATGGCACATTTGACGCTATCAAAATGCAAAATGCACGCTATGACACTCTTCTGAAGAACCCCTTAACTGAAACAGCCTTTGATTATCAACCAAAAGTACTTTTCTGCTCTGATTTTCGCCTTTTTTATTGGTGTCATTCAAGTTTTAGAAAATATGTCAGAGGGTTTCTGCTGAAGAAGTCTAAGATGAGTTCAAGTTTTAAGGGGTATTGATTTGAGTCAATGTCATCATGCACAAATGTCAAAAACTAGAGTACATGTTTGCCTAGCTGTCAAAAACACTATGGAGTCTCCATATTGTTTTTTGGCTCATTTGTAATCTAGTGTTTAAAGTAACCAGTATGTGCCACACATAGAAATCAAAATATGAAATAGACTAGGAAAAACATTTCTTTAAAGCGCACACGTTTGTTTTTCAGACTAAACACTTTCAATCATACTAGAGTTAAAAAAACATGCAAAATTCTGGAAATGAAACCATCTGCGGTGCATTTAGATATAGTTTTTAGTTTTCTCCAGTCATTAGAAATGATGCCGATGTAAAAGTGTTCAAAACTGCAGTTCCTGGAGTGACAGCTAGAGGGTGGCTCCCAATGCTGTAGACGCCTCATACACACCCATTCATAAAAGCCTATCGATACAGGAGAAATAAACATCTTTTCTCCTTTTTTACAAAAAAGTTCTCTATCTGAATAGTTCATTTCTTGGTTTGCCCACACTGTACTCCTAATTTAATTTCTCAGTTCTGAAAATTGTCCTGCTTGAGTTTGGCATCATTTGAGGCTGTCTTGACTCTTGGACAGGTAGACTGCAGCTGTAGGAGGTGTAGGGCTGGCCTCTTTGACTCTTGCTAGATTGACCAAAAGTGCCTCTATTTCCAGATATTCAAAGGCTTCAGAACTTGGCCTCAGAAACTTGTTAGTGATGTCTTGGAGTCTAATATTGTGCTCCAGGGTGCCAATCTGATACCTCATCCAGAACACCCCCTTAAATTGAAACTTCAACTCAGAAACTCTTTGAAAACTTTAGTAGCTCCAGCTCGAAAGCCTAGGTAGATAATGACCCTATAACCTCCTGACTTTAGTGGTTTGCAGTCTTCTTTAAATGTGGTGTTATTCCCTGCTCCAACAAACCTCTAAGCCTCTTTGCTTCTCTTTTGTGTCTTTTAGCAGTCCCAGTGCGACACATGGCCTTCGGAGTTCCTGGTGGCTCCAGCAACCTGGCGTACTTTGTTCTGTGTGGAGGAGGCCTCACTGCTGCAGTAGTCTATGTGAGTATCTGTGTGTGCAAAGACTGACCTCCTCTGAAAACCACGACCCTGTAGAACAGCTCAGTCCACCTGTGTGGCTCGGAGTGACATGGAGTTGTCCTGACTGATCTAAACTGAAAGCTGTTAAAATGCAGCCATGACAGACCGGACTGCGCTGCAGACTTCAGCTTGACTCAGACTCTGGGAGGGACACAAGAGGGTCTTTGTGTGTTGTACACGCAGCTTTTGTCAGTGCAGAGTTGTACATGAGTATTGTGAGGTAGTTGGCAGCCGTGTTGGCTCACGCTGGTGTGTGAGTGTTTGCACACTGTGGTATTTTGAAATACTGTTATCATTTTTTATAGATGTATTTGTGTGCTGGTATTCACCAAGAACATATCTGCTCTCTTTCCCTCAGGCCTACAAGACAGTCAACGGCGATAGTGAGCGTTATGAGGACAGACTGGCCAGCATGGGCTCTGCAGCTAAGGGTCAGTCACACACAAAACCCTCAATCACATATTGTTTACAGGAACTTCAAGCAAATGAAAAAACACATTCTGTGGTTTTATTTCCTTTGATACTCGATAAAGATCAAAATTTGACTCCAGGTAGTTTTAGGTATAGAGTCATTTTGAGCTGTGATCATTTTACCTGCTCTTAGTGACTGTGTTTAGTGGGTATGATAATAGAAATATTCAACTTCTTTATTTAGCACATTGGAAACTCATGCTAACGTTGACAAAAATGGAGAAGGTAAACTTTCCAGATATAAGTTCATATCTCAGAAATAGTGGGTTCATTGTAGACCAAGTGATGTTTCAGGTATCTCCAAACCTGCCCAAATTCATCATGTGGATATGAGGAATTTCTGCTCAAAATTACATGCAAGTCCCTCAACACGGAGAGTTTAAATACACTAAAGGAGACGGCTAACTGCAAATACTAAAGCACCAGGGTTTTAGCTAATAACTGAAACTGCAAATGCATAAGATGTCTTTTTTGTTTTCTCCTCAGATTAATATTGAAAGATCATGACCGGTTAAGTTGGTTTCGGTGCCTCCTGTTGACAAAATGATCTCGATAGATTTAGTCCCACACATGTGTGTTTATCAGTTGAACTTTGTTTAAACAGCACCTTTCAGAGAACAAAAAAAAACACAAAAAATTATGAAAAACCCCGGGACATCAACATATATGATATTTAAAAAACAAAACAAAAACTGAATTAAGAGTTGGGGACAAATGCACACTAGCAGCAATTAGATTTAATGACGCAATGAAAGAAACTGTTGGAAAAATAAGTTAAAGCGTTAAAAAACTCTCTCAAAATATAGTGAAAATGATAATAAAAAAGTAAAGCTAAAATGCAAAGACAGATAAAGCACTGAAATGGCAATAAATTAAAGTTAAATAATAAAAACACAATAGTTGAAGATAGGATAACAAAACATTAAAAATGAAGCTTCATGAGGTTCAACAACAATGATACAGTTTTGCTTCATGGGCCACTGCCTTTTGTCTTTGGTTACTTGTAATGCAACATAAATTGAACACTAGTTTTCCTAATTTGGGCGGTGATTTAAATATTTACAACTTTAAAAGTTCATTTCAGGGAGAGTGAAAGCAGAGAGAGACTGCAGAAGGTCTCCCCGGCTTCACCACCAAAACATCAAACATGGTAGACTGATCACTCTCAATAGCTTTATCTTGCCTGTCAGTTTTGATTCATGTCTGCAAGTTTTTTGTCTGTTCAGCCGGTCTGAGCTGAGAGGATGTTGGCCCTGTGCCTAAAGCTGCTAACTACTCTGTAATGGAAAAAAGCTGAAGCTTGCTCTTGTTTAGTTACGTACGTGCAGAGTGAAATGTGTATTTTTATTTTATCGCAACTGCAACACAAACCTCAGCTCCCTAGAGTGCTAGAAATGTACCACTTGGCTTTAAACAGGCGTATGAGCTCATTACATAATCGCAGGATAAGTTCCAGGAAACAGCCAGAAAAGCTATGATGCACATGGACGATGGTGATGTTATCACAGCGGTGGTAGTCGAAGATCACATTGTCCTGATGCAGTAATCGGATAAAACATTACTGGCTATCATTACAGTAGAGAGCTACCTGGTGGGTTGTTTGATTGGTTTGACTCCTTTCTCTCTAATCCAGAACTCTAGTTCTGACTAGATAAGTTTTAGTTGATTCCACTATGAAAAAAAGAAAAAATCTGGACACGCTTGAATTTGATTAAAACATTTTTGTTTTTCACAAACCCACAATGACAATTTAAACTTGAACATGAATCTAAATCAATTGTTTACTTCTTTAGATCAATTCTCTAAAATGTTTGCCATGCTAATGACACTGTATAGATTAATGAACAAACCGTTTCCAGCAGCATACAAATAGGTTTACAGTGACAATGGTAACAAAATGATGTTAAGATGTTAAAAATGATATAATACTAATCTCATTCAGTCTCATTTTGGCATTGTTGAGTAGCATTTTGAGGCTACACTGTATCTTACAGGTCTTATAGGGAGTTTTATGATATTGACTGAGATTCTTGGTGACCTGCCTTTTTTTAATGATCTTGTTTTCGTTGACGTTATTGTCAACAAAAACAACACTGTAGAATATATGTTTAGCGTTTGACTGAAGAAATGCTCATGAATTTTGCAACTCTGTTCGTCGTCCACCACTAATGTTTTCGTCTAGTCTCGTCAACGTAAACGCACATTCGTCTCGCTACACTTTAGTCATCTAAGAATTATGTTTCGCTTGTCAACATCACGTCTTCGGCGTGGAAAAAAAGGGGCGTTGAAGAAATATTTTTGTCAACAAAAACTACAGTTAATGATAAACAAAAATATAGTAAACAAGACCGAAGATTTTGATATCTGTATTTGTATTGTCAGACCTACCCCCTTAATGGTTTCAAAGCTATTTTTCATCTAGAATATTCACTGTGAATATGTCCGACTGTCAAAAATCAGTAGGATGAGATTTGTTGTCATAAATCACAACTCAGGTATGTAGCGGACAGGATGAGCATAGTGCTCTGTCCACAGGGGGCGCCAAACCGAAAGTTCATCTAACACTGTCTGTAGGTTTGAAGTTCATAATCATGATATCAACACAGCCTGGAGGTTTGGTGGTGTTCATAAAGCCCAGAATAAGGCGAACTGCTGTTTTGAACCTGGATCAGCAGAGTAATTAAAAAAGTGGAAATCATTGTAAATCCGGGTGTTAAGACACAACCACTAAAACCAAAGTTATTAACCTTATGATGCATCATCTTGAAATTCAGTTTAAAGTTTCATCTCTCAATTTATTTTAAAAACATACTTGTTTTCTTCACTTTGTTGGTGTATTGCATCCAGTAACTGCAAAGAAGTCTTTACATCTTAAAAGCTACATGTGAAGGGACAGCGAGCAGTATTAAGTAGAACTAACTTCGGTAAAATGGAATCTAAAAGAATTTAAATTTGTCTTAAATTACCTGAAAACAATGTTTTTGTAGAGAAAGCCTTTCACATCTATATGACAGCAGGTCCCCTTCCAGAGAGATATTGGGCAAGTGAAATGCACAAATAAGATGATTCAGAAACAGAGTGGCTGTTCTTGGGCCCCAAAGAATTTGTATTGATAGGAATTTTTGATGGTAAAACTTATAAAACAAATAGAAGATCATGGATATCACGTTGTTGTCCACCTGCTGGGGGACTGCAGGTAAAATGTAGCTAATTAGCTAATGCATATCTTTTAAGTAACTTAGGGTTGTGGTTGTCGTACATGACTCTAAAACACTAAAGTAAACAAGAGTTACCATTGCTTTGCAGATGATAAAAATGAGCTTGCGCCTTTTTTAATCTAGAGCAGGACTGCTAGATATCATTAATTATTTCTATGTCACCTTTTAAGATAAGCTTAAAGTAGAATTTATTACTTGTTACGCAAAAGATACGAAAGCTCCAAAGTGATGGTTCATTAACATGTTAAATGACTGTATTATTAGAGACCAGCTAAAAAGCACACCAGTTTCCCCACAGCTTTTTCTCTCGTATTTTATCGAGGCCGGCAGCTTCAGTGAGGTCAGCAGTTATATTTTTGTCCAGCTAACATGTTAGGATTAAGGATTATCCGTCACTCTGCTAGTATTATGCTGCTGTGTCACCACTTAAGACATCACCTCTTGACCTCTAACCTTACTTCACCTGTTGATGATATGCTGAGACCCAAACCTCTCCCTTTTGAAAGCTCTACAAATGTATATTTTTATGGTTATCCACAGCTCATTACTGTACAGTCTGTTTGTGTCCTATACATGATATTGATCAGTCTGCTGTGCATCTTAAAGAAAAGAGGAGGTTGAGTTGTCCCCATGGAAACAGATCATGCTACTGTCATGATCCTAGCTGTGTCCCAAAAGTGACGTCTTTCATTTCGATACAAACATTTTTTACATGGTTGCTCTGGCCTGGAAATGTCAACTGCATTGCAATAGTTTTTCAATTTTGCCAATTTCTTTTTTTTCAACTCATGATTTATAAATTGTGTTTCGTAAACTCTTATTTACACTTCTTGCAGAGGCAGCTCCTGCACCTGAAGCAGCAGCACCAGAAGCAGCTCCTGCAGCAGAGGTAGCAGCACCCGAAGCGGCTGCACCAGAGGCAGCAGCACCAGAGGCATCGACGCCTGCAGCCGAACCCGCCCCGGCGGAGGAGGCAGCACCAGCCGCTGAAGTTGCGGTGGAGCCCGCGCCTGCTCCTGCAGAACCCGTAGCAGAGACCGCTGCTGAACCTGTCGTTGAGGCTGTGGCTGAAGCAGCCCCCGCTGTCGCTGCTGAGGTGGTTGTTGCTGAGGTTGCAGCAGAACCAGCTGTTGCAGAAGAAGCCGCTCCGCTTGCACCTGTAGAAGTTGAGGCGGTCCCTGCTGAAGCCGCTGCTGCACCTGCAGAAGTCGCTGTCACAGAGGCACCAGCAGAGGCCCCCGCAGCAGAGAGTGCCGGTACGGCAGCAGTAGATGAAGCTCCTCCCGCTCCCCCTGCTGAGGCAGAGACTAGCTCTGCAGCCCCCGAGGCTGAGGCCGCCCCTGCTGCAGAGGTGGCTGCATAAAGCTTCGATAGCTGGCTAGTTCGCCCAGAAAGGAGGGCTGAGAGTTAGTTGTGCTGTGTCTCGCCTCTCTGGGCCCAGGAAAAAGGACTCATGAAACCCTCATGTTTGAAAGTGGAAAAAGCACTTAAGTTTCCTGTTCAGGTTGATTTATGAATAACTTGGGGTTCATCAGTCCAGTTTTCTGAAGCCTCCCCACCCTTCCTTCACCTCAACAAGCCCTTAACCAGAACATTTGGCATTAGGCTGCCTGTAAAAATTCAGTTCAGAATTCAGTTTCTTTAGGGATTTTACATCCAGAGCAAATCCAAATGATGGTTTGGCTGCTGCAGAGTTAGTACAGAAGTTTTGAACTAGTTGATAAGAGGGGCAGAACCAAGCTAATGATTGACGTTCTGTAAAATAAAGTGCCCTTAAAAGGAAAGCCCTGCATTCTAATCTCCCTTATGTAAAATGGATGCAGCCAATTTGATTGTTGACGATGTTCAATCTCGTCGTCTCTTTCAACATCATTTGCACTTGGTCTCTCTCAGATCAACAACCACCCGCTTTCAGTTTATCGCATGAATCTTTCTTAGCTTAGGACTGTTGTACAGAATGTTGAGAGATTAAACATAATGTCATCGTGTTTCATTCAGTTTTAACTATCAGTGTAAAGTTTGACCAAATCAAGCAAGCTTCTCCTTACCTGGCTGAGGACCTTGTCCAGTTTTCTCAGCTCAGTATGTTGTTTTGCACATCTCCTCGGAGTCAGTCAGTCAGTCGATTTTTCTTTTCCTGCACCACAAAATACTTCATTTTCATAACCACTTCTTGACATATGCAGCAGTCTGCACCCACCTCAACGAACTAGCCCTTGTTTCTTTATCCTCACAGTTCTAGAGCTATGTGTAAGACTTGATTTTTGTGTTGAACTCACTTCTGATTGCTCTTTACTCTTTAAATGTCAAACTTAAGTCTTTTCAGGGAACTCTCATTCACCTCTGTCTTCAAAAAGTTGTCAATATAATAAAAACAGTTACGTGTTCAAAGAATAAAACATCACTGGATCAATATGATGACTTTTCTCCTTTTTTAGTCATTGCATTTTGCAGCAGCGCTCCATTTCAAAGGGCTGTTTTTTAAGATTGCTTCTGTGGTGACTAGAGTAAAATCTCTGGTTTCTCCTTCAGTTTAAAGTTACATTTCTACAGGGCTTATTTGTAGTCTAGAGTTCATTCAGTAGCTGTAGCTGCTTGTGGTTTTGCCAGTAGAATAAGACCGTATGTCTTGTAAACGTAGAAACCCCTCCCTTAGTTAAACATGCTCCCTTTTCTTATGAATCCTTGAGCCATGTTCATGCTCCTGAATTAATATATTTTGACCCAATACTTCCCACTGAGCATCTAAAAGAGGGCGTCTAAAAGAGGTCTAATAGACATCTAAATGTAGCCTAGATCATAGGTTCTCAAGTCCAGTCCTCTAGGCCCACTGTCCTGCATGTTTTGGATGTTTCTCTGCTCCAACACACCTGATTCAAATGATCAGCTCGTTATCAAGCTCTCTAACGAGCTGATCATTTGAATCAGGTGTGTTGAAGCAGGGAAACATCCAAAACATGCAGGACAGTGGGGCCTCGAGGACTGGACTTGAGAACCACTGGCCTAGACGACTGGTCCAAAATCCAGCTACCACATGTCTAAAAATGAAAATTTTTTTAGGCATCTAAATTTAGACCAGTTTTAGACCAAGTCTAAACCTGGTCTATATCTATACAACACTGTATATTGCTCAATGATTATTTTTTTGGTCAAGTACTTGGAGATCAGTCATGCAACTTAAAGTGTTGAAGGTTAAAGTGCATCGTCTAAATTCCATCTAAAAATATACAGAATCTAAAAGGTTAAAATTGGGTCTAAAAGAACTAAACTTCTAATAGCCGTCTATTGCTCAGTGGGTTATTTTTTTTTTTAGATCATTTTATAATTTTTTTTAGTCATTTGGCAGATTAAGTAAAGTATGTCTGACATGTATCTTTTTCACAATGAATCCCAGAATATCTTTGTGTTAAACAGGGCTTCACACATAAGCATTACTCTGAATGAAAACTAAAGACATGATGGGTTTAACTTGCGTATTTGTTCCTCTTTTTCAGTTAACATAGCAAAGCTACGAATGTTTCATGTTTTACCTGAAAGACTTGTCTGAGTTTTCCAAAGGTGTGGGCTTTAAGGCAGACATTGAAACATTACCAGCTCACACCACCATTGGGGTTTTGAGTTTGAAAAGTAAATCCAGGTTTTTGCGAGATAGGGAAGAAAACATAAAGGCAACTCTCAGTCCATAAAGTCCTGCTGAGGAGTGTTGACATTTGTAACCTGAAACGGCAGAGACTTTAAAGTTCAAAGGCTCCTATAGTGTTGCTCCTGCCTAGCTTTGTGCGCAGTGATGCAGCTTTAAAAAAGTAGGAAACATTGTGGGGGGCACTAAAGGTCTTCTCATTCTCTAATCTGAATTTTGAACACCTACTTTTGCTTTGGCCTCAAATTTCTCTTGTTTGCTTTTGTACAGTCATCTGCCATATATGTATCTGCAAATATTGTCATGTTGTATAAGAGGTTGAGCAGCCTTGCAGGCAACACTGTCAGATTTTAGTCCTGCTGGTCCTGCTTAACAGGCTAAAAAGAAAACTTGTTTCAAAGAGAAAAGAAGCTGAATCGTCTGTCCTCCAAGCTTTAATGATTTAATTGTAAATCAGGGACTTGTTTTTACCTCTGATTTGTAGTCTTAATTGTTTTAAGTGTAGTCTTAAGCAGTTGATCAGACAGGTTAAGACTAATCCTAGATTACAATGCTAGTTTTAGGATGCTGTTGCTTGTCGGGATCGGGTAACAGACAGGTTAATGAGACATTGTTTGTGGTAAGAGGATGTTTAACAGGAAAGTGTCGATTAACGCTTTGAACACTGACCATGGTGCTCAACTGGGATTTAATAGAGAAGGTCAAACAAGGAAATTCTTGCTATTAAGTGGTTGTTACACTTACACTGCTCTCTGAAATGCTGTATTCACATCACATCTATACGGTTACAGCAGCTGAAAGAGCATGAACTTGGCAGGTAGTCCACTGTAGAGCATTACCTGAACCTGTGGTGACTGTAGATATGCAGTGATAAGCCACCTCTGAGGGTAAGTACATTTAACCGGAACAGCAAACCATTGTTTACAACAGACATAATCTAGTGATGCTGTTCCCGTCTTGACTTCAAGCAACATAAGATGAAAATCAAATTAGATTACCTGTTTGATTCAGGTATTAAAAGACAATTTAGTGTGAAATATATATTTAATCATCTAGCTGTTTTATTTTCAAGTCAACTACAAATTTTTTTTTATTGGGAATATGTGCATGTAGTTGGCTAAACCCTGTAGAATTTGACAGTCAGTGCCAAAAAAGCTTGTCCAGTGTATTGTTGGGGTGCCAGTGGCCTAGTGGTCTGAGCGCCCTGTGTATAGAGGCTGTGGTTCCCCCACTTTCACATCTTCCCTGCATTTCTTGTCTCTTTACAGCTGCTCTAAAACCCAATTCGGATAAAGTTGGGAGGTTGTATAAAACATGAACAAATACAGAATACAATGATTTGCAAATGCTTTTCCACCTATGTTAAATTGAATTCACTACCAAGAAGATATTTAATGATCAAACTGATAAACTTGACTGTTTTTCTGTAACTATTAACGTATTCTGAATTTGATGATGCAACATGTTCCTAAAAAGTTAGTTCAGGGTCAACAAAAGTCTGAAAACTGAGGACTGCTCCAAAAACACCTGTTTGGATCATTCTACAGGTGAACAGGTTCATTGGAAACAGGTGAGGGCCATGACTGAGTAAAAAAGGAGCATTCCCAAAAGGCTCAGTCCTTTACAGGTATGGATGGGGCCAGGATCATAACTGTGTGAGCAAATGGTCCAACAGTTTAAGAGTAACGTTTCTCAACCTACAACTGCAGGAATTTAAAGATTTGATCATCTACAGTCCATAAAATCATCAAAATATTCAGAGAATCAGAGAAATCTCTGCACGTAAGCAGCAAGACCCAAAACCAACGCTGAATGATCATGACCTTTGACCCCTCCTGAGGCGCTGCATTAAAAACCAACATCATTCTGTAAGGGATTTTACCACATGGGCTCAGGAGGACTTCAGAAAACCATTGTCAGTCAACATAGTTGGTCTCTACATCTACAATTTCAAACTCTTCCAGACCCAAGCTCACCTGAGACGGACTGACCCAAAGCGGAGAAGTCTGCTATGGTCTGAGAAGTCCACATTTCAGATAGTTTTTGGAAATCATGGACGTGGTGTCCTCTGGGCTAAGGATTTTTCAGAGGAAAGTGTGAGCTGTTCTTTCCAACCAACAAGTTTGCAAAGAGCATCCAATTTACAATTAAGTTTAATGATTGGGAATCCTCCCATCTGACAAGCTGAAACAACTTTTTTTCATGTGTTTAAATAAATTACTTTAACTAGTAAACCTTCAAGATTTGTTGCAGGTTAACTTAACCCCCCTGTCGTGTTCATACCCCTCACCTTACTTTAGTGTTCCCGGTCAAATTTGACCGGTCTATTTTAACTGCTCTTAAATTAACACAAAAGCCTTTACTCCCCACCAAGTCTTTATTTAACACTCTTTTCAGCTGTAAACAATGTCTCTGAGTAGTAGTTAACATGAATAACTGCAGTGAAAATACAGTTACTGAAAATATATTAAAAAATGAACATGTAACGTAAAAAAAGAAATAGACCAAACTCCTTAAACTCTTTGAAAAAAAAAGAAAAAAACTTACCCGATCCTTTTAGCATTGAAGCCGAGTCGTGGATGCACTGAAAGGACATGAGTCTTTTTCAAATGGGTACCTACAATTTAATGCATGGGGAATTGCAACCCTACAAAAAAGTTTATTTCACATATCAGTCATGATATTTATGGCACCAGGCTTCAGACAGAGGTCAGGACCCAAATATTAGGAAAAATTAGCATGCACAAGGCTTAATGAACCTACATATATGTTGGAATGTGTACACTTGTACATTTTCTACCAGATCCTGTCCTCTTTCTGTCTTCTAGAGTCTACACCGGAGCTGCTCTCAGCTGTGCAGGTCTCAGCTGGTTCTACAGTTGAGATTGCAGCAGCATCTGTTGGTGATACAAGTCTGGTAGAGGTTGTTCACGTGATAAAGGAAGATGAAAATGGTCTGAGTTTCACAGCAGTGACAGAGATTCTGGAAGAAAGCACAGAGATGGAGGCTAAAGAGGCACTTGAAGAGACAGCTGCTGAAAGTGAGGAGGTCCTGGAGACAGGCGAAGCTGTAGTCAAGATAGAAGCACCGGCCGAGGAGAAGGTTGCAGTAAAGACATCTGCACCTGCGGCATTAGAGGAGGAGCAGGAGGTGGCTGCATCTCCTGATGAATCTTTACTTCAGACAGAAGAAAAGGTGGAGGATGTTGGGACTGAAGATCAGGCTTTGGTCACTGGAGCTGCTCCACCTGAGGAGGCCACACCAGCTGAGGAGGCATCCACAGCTGCTGATGCTGCTTCTCCAGATGAGGAGGCCTCCTCCACAAACATCTCACCTGAAGATTCTGTTTCCGCTGAGGCTGCTGCAGTGGAAACAGACTCTACAGAAGCCTCACCTGAAGATGCTGAGGCTGTTGGGGAAACTACACCAGCTGAAGGGGCAGCCAGTGACACCCCAGTGGATGAAACACCAGCTGCTGTGGGTTCAGTAGAGGAGACTGTAGCTGAATCAGAAGAAGCAGCAGAGGTTGTGGAAACACAGGGTGATGGTGTTGAGGTTGTGAAGAAGACAGTTCAGCTGGCAGCAGCCTCTGGCTCAGACCTGGAAATCCTTTCAACTGCTGAACCAGAGCCTTCATCAGACACTCCTGCACGTGAGACCACACACTGCACCTCCTGCCACTCCAATCCATCATTAGCAGAGGAGGTGGCGCCACCTGCTGCTTTTGAAGATGAAGATGCTGAGGATGTGATGAGTGAGGCACAGGAGGAAGTTTCACTGGTGGAGGGAAAAAGTAAGAACATACTGTAAATGTCCAGACAAACTAAATCAATGTCTATTCTGCTCATTTTGGTCAACAGTTGTTGTTTTGCACTTTTGTTGGAAATAGTAGTATAAGAAAACAAAGTGCCATTTTGCAATATACCTCTTACAAACAAAAGATGACCTTCACCATAGAGCTCAAAGATACAGAAGTATGTTTGGACCAGGCATAAAAACAACAAAAAATCAAAAAACAAAATCCTCTTTTACTTTTAAGGACAAATTTTGAATATTCATCACTGAATTTATTTATAGTAAACAGTGTTTTAATTATTTATGATTTCAATACCTAAATTTTTCTTCCATATTTGAACTTAATTTTCCATATTTTATCTTTCTTCAATTTTTTGACCCTTTTTAACTTTATTTTGAGTGTTTGGACTTTCTACCTGACCCTGTATTTTATTTTAGAGAAGTAATCTCATTTCTTCACACTCTGACATACATGACATATCAGCTTTAACTTTTGATTTTTTTTCCTTTGAACATTATTCTGTGAAATCAGTTTTCATTCTCAGTATTTGGACTCTGACTTTATTGTGTTTAAACCTGAGTCACAACCTTTCAACTATTTCACCAACTATCTAATCTATTCTTTATAGTACAGCTGACAGAAAACACAAGGTTGTGTTTACTACACTGACTTCATGCCGACTTTATGTTTAGACTTAAATCCTCAACACAAACACTTTGGCTTCATTTAACTACTTTTTAACTATTTTCAATTTTTTTTACTGCCCATCATACCTGGCACTTTCCCTGACAGCTAGACTTTTTCATATTCAGAGGAGTGTTTCAGTTGAAATCTGACTGCTAGATATGGCTAAATATTCTTATCTGTACTGTATTTTCTGTACTTCTTATTACATACTGTACCTTTAAATAAAACCAAAGATCTGATGGCTTATAAACGAATACTGTGAGTTTATAGGTTACAGTATTATTCTGAGCTTTTAAAAATCCAGATCTGAGTTTTATCTTTGATTTTAGTTTTTTCATGTGCCCTTCATAAAAATGGAAAGTGAAATTGTAAAGTTTTATTTATTTTCTTTGTTGTGATAATATGGTATTTATTGTCACAAATACAGCTACAAAAACCTCATGAGTTTTAAAAGCTGTAAATCTATCTTCTAGTCATTGTAAAATGAGTAGACACACTGCCTGACCCCCTTAATACACCCTTAAATAAAACATATTAAATGACCTGGCATCAGATGTTCAGAAAACAAAATATGTTTTTGACTTTTGACTTCAGTCTTAAGTTTTATATAAATTGGACAGTAGGCATCAATTTGCAAGACAGCAGCTACATTTCTAGATTTAAATCATCCTTTATTATTAAGCTTCTAATCAACACCTCGCCTGAATTTGACTCTGACCAGAGGTATTCTTGCATGTGTATCTGAGTCAACTGTATTTAACTGGACAGTGAAAAAGAAGCTGTTCAGGAGTTTTAAGCACAGTTGAAAATGTCAATGTTTGAAAGCAGCACAGTAAAACACATCTGAAATAGAGGCAAAAATACTTTATTCAAACACTTATGCTTATGCTTGCATAATAATTTATTGGTTAAGTCTTTTAAAATTATGGGAGTTCCTATATTTCTGTCAAACTAACCAATGTTGTGCTTGTGTTTTGCAGACACAGAGACCACGATGATGGTGTCAGCCCAGTCATGACATGACAGACGGTGTGCCTTCCACAACACTTGCTTATCTGTCGACCAAACCAGGAGGGCCAGTGAAAATATGGGAGAACTAGCAACATATTAACTGAGCTAATGCATCACTTCTTCCTAAATGTTATCTGAATCTTTTAAATGTTTTCTTTGTGTGTCTGCCTGTGTAGCGTTTGTGATTTTGTGTAGCTTATTATGCTTGTTCTCCACTAGATGCTGCTGTTGCACAACTTTTCATGCCCAGAATGAATGGGACATAAGTTTCTTGAGAGTTGTTGTACGCAGTGAAAATCCCTTTTTCTGGTGTATTTAATAGACTGCTTTACATAGACTTTTTAGTGGGCTCCCTTAAGCTGAAAACAGTCAACTTAAATCCTTATCAAAATCATGTGACTTAAAAACTGTGCACATTGGTCACATTTGTCACGGGCAAGCATTACTGTACTAAAGGTATATCAGTCTTTTAAGACAATTACAGTGTCATTAGTAATGCATTATATTAGACATATCAATGTGAATTCAGGGGAAAATCGTTGCACAACTGTTTACTAGCCTTTTAAAGCTGATATTAACAGATACGTTAATAACACAAATGGATTTCAACTCTTTGTACTCATTGTTTTTGTTTTGTGGGTTTGCTTCATAGATTATAGCAATCTATAACAATTTAGTAATTGTATCACATCAATGTGTTAATGGATTGTACTCCAGTTTTATCTGGTTTATGATGAGTTCCTATTCATTTTGTTGTGTTCACTCAGATATCTAAATAAAGTTGTTTACACTTTAACACACTTTTGTAGTATCTTGGATTATGATGTGTTTATCAGCCTTGGGTGAGACATTTGCAGCTCATCTGTGAAGGTCAGTGCACTGACCACTTGGAGGAGATGGTTAGCTGTTATTTAATCGTTATGAACATTCAGTTTTTTTCTTGTTTCCTTGTGGATATGTTGTTGCCATTTTGACAACTTTGTCGACTTAAGACAAAGTGAGGCATAGATGTAAATTACAAAATAATGACACATCTCTGGATCGTAGCTTTAATGATATAGAAGTGGATTTTTATACAGAAAATTAAAAAAGACCTTAGAGGAGAGTGGGGTAAGATGAGCCATTTTTCATATGTCGGATAACTACATCAAGGCAATCATAGCTTTGTTGTGCATCCTTCTAAACCAACAGAATGAGTGTAAACATAACTGTCTTGATAATGTAGCATGCCAAAAATAAAAGTGGTCTCCTATGATCAACTTACCCCGTGTATGGGGTAACTTTACCATTTCCAAGCAACAGAGGGTGGCTCAACTTACCCCACTCTCCCCTATAACACGCAATATCATAAATGTGACATAAAATATCAGGTACAGTGTGTAGTATTAGCAGAACAGACTTTTTAGAAACTGAATTTTGTAAGTAGCTTAGCATCAAAGATAGTAAAAACATTTTTTCTTACCTTAGATTGAGTCCTTTGCATCAACCAGCCAAAACATTATAAACTCCCAAGCAATCCTATACAACAAATCTACATTCAGACATTTGATTTTTTTATGTAAAGTCACTGATGACTTGCATATTTTAATATAGTGCACCCCAGTGCACCGCGACAACTTCAACAGTTGCCTTACAGAACAATTACCACATGTCCAGTCATGTAAAAGAAAGAAAGAAGAAAATGTCAAACTTCTTAGAAATATCAACACAGGAATGGGTCCCCCTCCACAAATATACATGTGTTTAAACTCAGAAAGTGGCCGTCAAAATGCAGTTTTGTGCAAAACAATTTGAGTTGAAGGACATTTGTGGTGGTAAAAACTGAACACAAGGGGTCCATTTACCTTGGATGTCAGATGTTTGAGGTGGTAATGGCATCATGGAAAGAATTCATGATGGGTAATGCAGTTCTGCTACCACTTTATTCTGCAGGGCAAAAATTTCAATTTAAATCAATTTCTCTGATCATTTCCAACAGGGGGTGGCTCAACTAACCCCAGTCTCCCCTACATGTAAATTACAAAATAATAACACATCTCTCGATCGTAGCTTTAATAGTATAGAAGTGGATTTTTACAAATAAAATTCAGAAAACCATATTTATTTTGATTAGATAAACAAATCAAACTGTAATGTCAGAGTTTTATTTTGGTAAGATCATACGGCGTGACGTCACGGCTGCGATTTGCCTGCACGAGCGCAGAGTAAACTGTCAACAGAGTCAGTCAGTGTCCACGAGAGGAGGAGGAGGAGGAGGAAGAAGAGGAGCGGGGGTCCATCCTGAGCCAGAGCTGTCACTGGCTTTTCTTTTGTTTTGTGTTTTTTTCTGCAGCATGAAAAAACAAAACAAAAAAACACACACAAAGGGCACAGAGGAATTCACACACATCACTGTGGAGGGCTGCGGCCGCGCTCATCATGAGTATACACAACCAACGTTAACATCGCGTTAGCTAACGGAGAGGAGGAGGAGAGGTTACCGTGTGACACTGACACACACGCACACACACTCACTCACTCACACACACACACAATCAGCAAACTGTCATTAGCCCGCTGCTGCTAACGTCAAGCTGCTGCCTGGAAACAAACTTGGAGACAAGCAACGAGCGAAAAGAGTGAATTAAAGGTAGGTGAGCTATCTTGGCATTAGCAACACGCTTTGTTGTGTTTCTATCCTGACAGCTTGTTTGTCTCATTATGCTAACTTGGCTAGCTAACGCGTGTGCTCCCCCCAGTTAATGTCAGTGTTCAGTTTCTGTTTCTATTCTCCCGTGACCTGTCCGATATAACCTTCTGTATATGCGTCTCCAGACTAACTCGGTATACTTTTCTAATACATCCCAGTCTGTTAATGACACCAGAACAGGCTGATCATTCATTGATAAGGTTAGCGGGACTGAAGAGCAAAGGTATCATTGCAACAGTGAATTTCCCCTCACTGTGACTCACTGTACATGCCTGATAGACGTAGTTTGTAAGCGGTGTAAACAGGCAGCTAGCCAACTGTGTGATGGAGGAAGGTGGGGGTTTGTATTCTTCATTCATTAACATCAGTTTTAGATCTTAAAAGTCTATGAGCTAACCTCACAAGTTTCATGTGTCACTGTCTGATTACCACTTTTAAAAGTATATGGCAACTAGGGCTGGGCGATATGGGAAAAAGTTTATCAATATATTTTTTTCTTATCAGTTGATATTGATATATATCGTGATGTAAAAAATGAAATTTAACAGTGCTTTTTGGTAGCATGTCTTTTGAAATACAATAAGCTACTTTGTTTTGTTGTAAGGCGTTGCGCTAGAGAAAGCAGACTGAATGGTCGGCTGTTTTCGGCTGCACAGGGGCCTTGGGCTCCTTGCTTTGTTCAGGGTTTGTAACTTTTTGTGTTGCGCGTGCTCTACCGCATAGCACTGCTTCAGGAAGTGAAAAAGATATTAGGTATTGCCCGACTTTGCTAGAACATGTACTCGAGATAATTTGCAGTGCACATTAAGGTCGTTTCGCACCATCACCGTTTTTGTCGTGTGATTATTTCGGACGTCAATATTTTTTTTGAACCCGTGTCCTGTCAATACAAGAGTTAACATCAGTGATGTTTTCCTGTCCTGCGATATTGCAGCATTTATTTTTTCAGTTCATGGTCGATTTATCTCAAGTTTCGCATATTGTGTGTCCACTTCTGACCAATTAGATTGCGTGTTGTTGCGACTTCTGATTCACTGGTATATCCAACATGGCCGACCGGCTATTTGTTCACGTGTCGGAGAATAGAGTGCTTTTTGATAAAAGACAAACATTACAAAGATAGCGACCTGGATCAGACTTCTTTTACAAAGACTTAATGCAAAGATGGGATCAGATTGAGCCCCATCCTGTATGATCAGACCCACTCCCACCTCATCTTCAATCACATGAGTGACAGGCTTAACAGCATTTATCAAGTTACAGTGGAGAGGAAGAACTTCCTTTAACAGGCAGAAACCTTGAGCAGAACCAGACTGATGTTAGACAGTCATCTGCTGAGACTGAGCTGGGTTTAGAGAGGGGAGAGAGGGAGATGGAGAAAGAGAGAGATGGATAGAGGAGAGACTGATGCACATGAATCATAATATTAGCTAAAACTAAACATTATGGGGAAAAATCAGCATGACGAGATAAGACTGTAAAGACTGAAACTATATTGAAGGGATGATTGTGCATTTTAATGTTGTAGAATGACCTATATTCTGCCTATTGTTGGGGAGAAGAGGTGTTAATAACCTATACTGCTGTCAGGCACTAGAAGGAGCTCCAAATCTTTTAGCCTTACAGCCAGTGAACACTTGAAGCGTCAATTTTTGTTTTTTTATTACTAACATTTTATTGGATTTTTTTAAATATCGAACATTACAGGTACACATGTGGCAAATGTTGTATATGTTGTAAACATTGACTTGTAAGAAAGTAAACAAATAACTATGTTGTACAATGCTTACACTCCAGGAAATAGAGAAAGAAAAATAACCACATGGTAGCAACAACAACAAAAACAGACAAAAAAAACCCAAAAAACTTTTAAATTAAAAAAAGCACAAAAAAAGAACAAGAGAAAAGGGCAATACAAGAACAATCTAGCAAAAGATATAACAGGACAGCACAACAGTAAAATACTAAAAATAAAAATAGAAGTGTCAGTTTTTATGTGTCTGTGTCTGAAGCCCATGCTAAAGAGTAACAGATATTAAAATTTGAAGTGTGTAAAAATTGCTTATAAAGTCAGCAGGAAACAGCAGTGAGTATGATCTACGAGAGATCATGTTGTGAAGTACAAAAATTGTTGCCAAAGTTAGAAAATAAAAACAGTCCATTTTTGTTAGGCGACTAAATCAACATTAAACACTACACTGCATTTATTAGAGTAATTGTGGGGCAAAAGGACAGGATAATCTAATACTGTCATGTAGCACCGAACCCTTGAATTAAATCCTGGTCCACTGTTTGCTTTAGTGAGTGCTTGAATCTACTGCTCTGTTGTACAGGCTACAGAAGTGGAGTAAAGTGAACAAAGGCCAGTGGGCTGCAGCTGCTGCCTCCTGGAGGAGTTAATGAAGGGGCCATGCTTTGAGCTGGCAAATGATTGACCAGTCTGACTTTGCCCAGCCGGTTTATCCTGCTGTCTGTGCTAACACTTGAGCTGTTTTCTTTAAGGTCTTTGCAGTGTGGCCAAAATTAGGCCAGTGTTAGCGTTCTCTATTTCCTTTCAAGAAACGGCTTCACACAGCGCTGAGACACAGAGACTGGTGATGAAGGGATATCAGGAAACCACAAATGATGGGCTTTTTAGTGACTGTGTGAGGCTGGTAGTTTGTGCTTGAGGTGCTTTGTTCGAGGATGATAGTCATTTACAAACTTAACATCATTATGGTCACTCCTCCCCAAGTCTTAATGGGAAATTCTGGTAATATAGTTTTGTGTGGTAACTTAAGAATCCGGTTTCTCCTAATTTTTCTTAATAAAGTAAGATTGTGTATCTAAGTTTTTTTGGGACCTTGTATCCTTTAATTGTAAGTATTTCATACAAAAATGTATCACATGTTTTGGTCTCTTTATGCCTGAATCACGGCAAGTAAGTCCTCAAGTCATACTTGTCATGTATTGGCTTGTTTTTTCATCACTGTACGTCTGTGTGTGTTTATAGAACAGGACACAAGACAGGGCGTTGTATCTGTACCAACAGCCCCAGTAACTTGGAACAAAAGTCCTGTTGTTGAAAGATCATGTGACTGTGTGTGTGTGTGTGTTTGTGTGCGTGCGTGCGTGTGTGTGTGTGTGTGTGGTGTCTGTGTCTGTGTTCCACCCTTGTCATGTGATCTGAGCTCAGGGCAGGGTCTGAGAAATGCTGAGTCGCTGTGAGAGGTTCCTTCCACGCAGGGAACAGGCAGACAGTGAGCATGCGGGCAGAGAGAGGAGATGGAGGGCCAGTCGGATGGATGGATGGATGGATGGATGTCGAAGGGAGTCAGAGACAGGCAGAGAGAGAGGAGGTCACAGGAAACATCCTGTTGCTTTTTCTGACCATGACAAGAAAACACCACTCTCATCCTCTCATTTACCTTCTCGCCTCCTGAATGGATGGAGGCCTGCAGTTTGAATCAAACCAACTTTTCCATGGCGAGGCAAGTTTGCAACTCTTTCCTTTTTTTTTGCTTTGATGTATTCGGTGGGATCTCGCTGGCAGGTCAGAATAACTTAGCTGTGGCTTGTGAAGTCCACTGACTCACCACAAACTAGGACAGTGATTCTCATATTCCATCATGCTGACACTCAGAAGTCAAAAGTGAGCTAAACTGTAACGCTTCTGGAGTGAGACATGTAGCTGTAGCTCTTCTGCACTGTCACTTTCATGCTGGCAGACATATTTTCAATTCTTAGAATGACTTCATGACTTCATGTAGCTGTCTTTAAGTAGTGAAACAGTTGCAGTAACTGGTTATACCCCTGTGTAATATGAATAAGCGTATTCTCCTGCTATCTGGTAGGCTTCCAAAGGTAACACAAATTAAGTAGCTCTTTTAAACCATTATATTTCAGACTCTTGACTGATTTATGCTTGAGCTGAGGAGCAACAGGGCAGCCATGTGTTTGCAGTCATCCTGCAAGTCTTGTTTAACTTGTTTGAGGCAATACAACCTGCAAGTTCTGCTCCTGAGCCTCCACTCCTCACAGGTCTAGAGCGTGCATGTGATTAACCTACGGTAAAAGTCAGCCTGGAGTTGCAGTGTTTGTGATTTATCTAATCTACTTATCTTCATAGTTCCAAGTAATTTTATTCACCAGTTAAAACAGACACACAGTTTACAGTAGATGACTCTGCACTGTTACCCTTCCTTTTAACAAATCCATCTCAGATTTCTTCTCTCATGAGTAGATTTAGATGAGCCGCACAGATGACAAAACCCGACTGTGTCACAATCTCAAACTCCTTGAACTTGCATAATAACTGAACTGCTGTGAGTTCACCGTGAAATAACAGCATGTAGCTCAACACGTGACAGGAGTCTTGGTTTTGTAGTCTTTACATTTTCTGTACTGCAGGGGAAACAAATGCAACACATAAAATTTCCTTTTTTTTGATGAGAAACGTATAGAGCTTTTATACATATACAAGGTTAAAAGTGTAGCATACACACACAGTTAGGGTTTTACAGTAAAAGTTAAACGGTTATTGAAAAATAGAATGACACGTGGTTGAAAGAACCGAATGCTGGCAGATCCTCTGTTGAGCAGGTAAATTTCTGAGGCATATTTGCTACATAACGGGTAAATATTTGAGCTAAAATAGTCATGCAATTGAAAATAAGTATACTGAGTTTTTACCGTGTGCTGCTCTTCTTTCTCCTGCTTCTCTGCTGTCTGCATGTTGGAGGTTTGCAGGGACTGACACATACAAACATATGCAAACAATTTTAAGTCGGTGGGGGGCATTGGAATTGGATAACGTGGAGTTCTGCTTGTATTCAGATCAGTGTGCATCTACTGTTGACTACCAAGCCCTGCTGGTAGTATAAAGAGGCAGTCAACTCAACCTTCACTATTTCCCGTGATTCAGGAGCAGCACATACCATTTAAATCTCCTGTTTGGGATGGGTCATGTGGTCTCTGGATAATAACCGTGCATGCATTCCTCAGAGTGAGTTAACCACACAAGAGCCCGGCTAATATGGGAGTTAAGTCCTATTTTAAGGGGAGAATGAGTTTGCTGGTTATCAATATAGGGAGAGATGGTCGGATTCTCTTTGATCGAGGAAAACAGCCGTTTCCTACAGGGATTGTGCACTGATTTTGCACCAGCACAACTGTGTTAGACCATAAAAAGTCCTAGCTGTAATTTCTTTTAAAATATTTGACATTATCACATGAATTATAATGCTGGGCACTTGCTTCTCAGTTGGTAGCTGTCTCTGAATGCACTGCAGACAGTATAGAGTAGAGCCCGACAGATATGGATATTTTGGGGCCAATGCAGATACCGATTATAAGGGGGGAAAACCTCCGATTACCGTTTAATCGGCCATTTTTTAATTTTATGAAGTTATAAAAATACATATATACTGTAGGCTACTGCTCTTCACGCCGACAGGAAGACCGACTGATCAAACTCGGACCAGAAAAGCGTTTTCAACTTATGAGGTCGCTGCGCCATCTACAGGATAAGTCGGGGAACTTTTCAAATGGCATTTTCGAAGTGAAACCGAATCTTATTCTCTGCATTTTAGTTCTAAAAAAATCGGCGAAAATCAAAAAACCAAAATTTTGGCCGATTACTGATTAGTCTCAAACGGGCTAAAATTGGCCGATTTAATCAGTTCGCCGATAAATCGGTCGGGCCCTAGTGCAGAGTATTATTACTCATGAAACCTGAGAATGCTCTGCACATCAAACCACCATTTTTTAGGGGTGGGAATTACCAGTGGCCCCGAAATACGATATTATCGCTTGGGCCACGAAACGGAATTATTGCGATTTTAACGTTTTGCAATACAGTAAGTATTGCGATACAATATATTGCAATTTATTCAATTTTTTCAACTGTTTAGCTAACTTAGCTTTTGTCTTTTCTTAATGTTTGTCTAATTTACACTGTATTTTATTTTCATGTAGCACTTCTTGCAAACCTTTATTGTCAGGTCCATCTCATTCGTGCTTGCATTCCTAATGTCTTTACCCAGGTGCTGCTATAATCGTTGTACTAACTTTCTCCTGCTCTATGATGTCACCTCTGCCGACTTCACAAGACCGACAGTTGATTTTATTTTTCTATTTTCATAGATTTGACTTCATATTAACATATCATTTGAAAAAATCGATACTTGGTCAGTGAGACGATACGATATATCACCAGAGAAAATATTGCGAAACTATGCTGTATCGATTTTTTTCTCCCACCTCTACTTTTTATGTTGTTGATGACCCCAAGCATAGCTTTTTTCACATAGTCTTTTGCAAGTGGTAAAAGTCCCACGTTTATGTGCCAAAACTGGACCCTATGTTGAAATCTGTTATATACATCCCCTGTATTTTAGTGTCGGGAACATGGTGTTAAATATTTGAACAGAAGATTCATCTGAGCTGATAGCATGTTAGTCTCAGTGGTAGAGGGAGCCTCAGCACACCATGGTTCATCTATAATACAGCAGCTCGAGTAACTGAGCGCTCTCTTACACACTCCATAAGAGGAGCTCCTGTGGTCAGTGGGTTTGAAGCTGTTTTCAAAGGCATGGGTGATTCCTGACCTCTAAAATGTGTTAACTGCTTTGTTAATATGTTTTTCTCTTCAAAAGAAAATATTTGCAAGAAAATTGTTTGTCTGTTTTTTGTCATTGTGTTCAAGAATTTGAAGACTTCTTGTTGTTGGATTGTCTGTTAGTGGTGGTTTGGCTCCCTTTGTTTGAAAATTGTGGCTGTGTGCAGGTGTGTGAGGAAGAACCCTTTCAAACAAAGTTCAGATCAATCACGTCTAAAATCAAAAGCTGGTGTAAACAGAAGGTTTACAGCAGTTGTTTGATTTTTTGCAGCATTAAACCAGTGACTGTAAATATGACAAATGATGACAAATTTTCGTAAGGCTATCATGTTAAAAGACTGATGCTAACCTTTTGTAAGCCCTTGTAATGACTCTTCTAATGTCTTGTCTGAAACACTTTGAATTGCCTTGTTGCCACAATGTGCCATATAAATAAACTTGCCTGGTTTAACTTGTCCAGTGCTTAAAGTCAGGATCTAACTGACAAGCAGTCATTTTAAGTTAAAAGTTATAAGGACCCGTGTCCGTTTACAACATCTTTTGTGGTGACAGCACCCACAACCTCAATTTCATAGCACTTCTTCCTGGTGCTAGGTTACTTAAGTTGCCTCAGGGTACTTCTGCTTTTATGACTGTTTAGTCAGTCTAAAGTTGAAACTGTATGCTCGCTATTTACTATTATGCCAAGTTAATGTGCAACGAAGCCTAAATATCTATGAAATGGGGCTGTGTACACATTTAGACCCTTGAAAAACAAGTCTGATACGTTTTTTTCTTTTGTCAAGTTGTTTACAAAGTTGAAATCAGAACTCCTACTCCTTCTTAATTTTGAAAGTGAAATTGCAGAGCTCAGAAGTGTCCCAGAAGTTGAAGTTGTGTCCATTGAAATGCTCTAAAAGCATGGCAACAAAAATCTGTTCATGTTGGGGGCATTTTTGCAGTCAGGATGCTGAGTGAGTAAAATGTTGAAGGGGTGGTATCATGCTTTTCCACATTTACAGCAAAAACTGCCAAGTTACAACACTTGGTGTCCAGACTAGATGTATGCAAAGTTTCAAACCATGATGGTAAACGTTTGTTGTCATAATCTTAAAGAATAGGTGGTCCAGTTTGCAGTTTAAAATCTGGAGATCTGTCATAGAACCAGTCTAAACAGCATCGCGCAGATTGTGTTTTTTCTTTCTGGCTCTCCATGCTCTTGCTCTCTTTGTCAAATATCCAATCGTCAACATGCAGAGCGGAGCAGGAACAGAACTGTTGTTCTTAGCAACTGTGACCATGGCCCCTGTCTGCCCGTCCCACTTCTTCCCCTGGACACTGCGCGAGTGTTTGTGCTACTGGCTGGGCTTCCTGTTGGTGCATTTCTTCCTGTAATTGCCTACAGAAACTTCCTGCAGACCAGAGCTTAGAAGAAAGATATGAAACAGATACAAGAGATTTCTGCTGTTGGCCAGGTCTAGGTCTGCAGTGTCTTTTATTTAGAAAGACATTTCTTACCAAGCAAAGCAGCTGGACCTGGATTTGGTTTTGCTTTCTTGTCAGGTACTCGAGAAGGAGCTTGATACCACTCTTGTCTCAGTGTGGTAAAAATAAAGCCACAGACAGCTGGCAGTTTGATGGCCCATTATAATGCATGCAAACAGGGTTAAAAGTTCAGCGTAACTCCCTCTATCTCTCCAGGGTGGAAAAATATCAAAATTTAAGCGCACTAAATATTGATAAAAAACTGAGTCAGACAGTTTTAAGGTGTCACATTATCTCCAAGTATTATGAAAGTTGAAAAAATTGTTCATGGAGCATCTTTTCTATTTCCAGGAGCTGTGGTTCATCATTGGTGGGAGCCACCAGAGAGAAGGGCTGTGGAAACCACCTGCTGATCCCTGAGGAGCATGAGTCATGACCTCAGTGGTGCTGGTTGACACTGGTGGGACGGTGGTGGAGTATGTCGCAGCTGAGGAGGACCCCCGGCAGGTACGATGGGCATGGACGCGAACAAAGACACAGCAAAGAGTAGCTGTCCAGCTTTTGACTGTCTTGTTCTCATCTGTCCCTCAACCCACTCACTGTGCAGGAGGGAGAGTACGAGGTCGACCTGAACTTAGACGGAGAGGAAGATGGGGAGTGTGAGGCTGAGGAGGCTGATGACGAAGAGGAAGTACGGGACAGAGAGGTTGCTGAGGATTACCCCGCAGTCATTGTAGAAGAGTTACCTGGAGCGAGCCTGGCAGAAGAGCAAAGTTACTCAGCACAGGTGATGGTGTGTGAAGACGAGGCTTACCTGATGCAAGAAGTGGGTGATGAGCAGGAGGTGGAGACAGAAGGAGAGGCAGGTAAGACCAAATATCCTGTATCAAAAATGTGATGTAGCGTTGTCTCATAACCTTCATTTTTAGGATACAAGATGGCATTCACACTGTGTCTGTGGCAAAATCTGACACATACACCCGACTGCCCAGCATGCCAAAAGCAAATACTATTCAGTTTCCCTCTGACAGTCATATAAATATCCTCTATCCTTGATTTTCCAGAGGCTATTAGAAACTAAAGATTTAACCACGCATAAATTCACTAGACTCCATACCATGGATTGATTGATTTATTTAATGTGTGTGATCAGGTCCCTGGCTTTTCTCTTGTTATTCAGAATTAACCATGAGGGTGGGGTGGGGTATTGACCAATGGGCATCCATTATTTGACACATCTGGGTGATAGATTAGTAAGAAAGCAGAGTAATAAATAGTAGATCATTTGAAATCACCTCTATTTCTTTAACAGCAGTTGGTAGTTGCAGCCGTGGTAAGAGCAGTGAAACGGGCAGATTTCTTTTTTGGAATTAATGTTGAATAATAATGGATTAGTTTCTGTTGTGGCCTCTAGTTTGTAAATGAATGAACTGTCGTTTAGGCTTCAGTGGAGTCCTTTTGTCATACTTGTGTTGAATCAACTCTAGGTTCCATCTTTGTCCAGTTACCATTTGCAAGTTTATTTCCTATTTCTCATTGATGTCGTGAAATTCAGCAGCTGAATGTGTATACTAGGGATGCTCCGATCCGCTTTTTTCACCTCCGATACCGATACAGATATTTACAGTTTAGTATCGGCCGATACCAATCAAATTCCGATACAGAAAATCCAATTCCGATACAGAAAAACTAAAAAAAGTTTTACCACCTCCCCACGAAACGTTTACTGCGCAGGTATTGCAAGTGGTGGTCAAGCTTGTAGGCTGAGGTAGTGTGATAAAGTTTAAGATAGCAGACCCCCTTGCTCGCTCCATTTTGAAAACAATTCAGATGTTGTGCGTACACAGTCTGTGGTTCTTTTGCGTGCGTGTGTGTGTGTGTGTGTGTTATGCAGATAGTATGTTATTATTTGTTCCTTGGTTGCTATTTTGGCTTTGATTTCTTCTGTGTCCTTCGTGCAAACGTGCATTTTGTATATGATTCTGCAGTCATTTCATTCTGGTGGCACAGTTCAGTAGAGAGGTGCACCATGTGTTTGTGTCATCACTCTGCCACCTTGTGGATTTTTGTTGGACGTGAACTATTTCATGAACAGTGAAGAAAACAGTCAAACGGTAAAGTTATACATGAATCCACCAGCGATAGTGACTTGTGAAATTTTGTTCACTCTTTCTATTTATAAACCAGATTAAAAGAAGAAGGAGGGATTTCTCTCATCATGAAAGCTGATTTTATATATTCTGGTAAAATACCTCCCCAAAACTCAGTTTTTCAGATGGAATCTAAAGCGATCTGGCAGCAGATCAGTCATTTGTCAGCTAATTTCTAATGTACATTTCAACATGTTGTGCGAATTCAGCTTGCTGGGATGTCACACTTTAAATCTAAAAGCTCTGATACACTTTACTGTTAATGTCAGTTATCTATTTCCAGCTTTAAAAGTAGTGCTAGATGCCACTAAGTATCCTACCACCATACATTCATCTGAAAAAATAGTTCAAAATGAAAAAAACTAAATACCTAATCACTTCATAATTAATTTTTGTTGAATTAACTTTTTTTGATTGAATAACATCTAACAAACAAAACTCACACATACTTAATAAAAGCTTAAAATCTCTTAAAATTGGCACCAAGTCTGTCCTTTGCCTGTTTTGATTGAATGAAAACGAAAAATGAAAAACATTTAACAAACAAAACTTACACTTACTTAATAAAAGCTTAAATCTGTCAATAGGCAAGCATTGATGTATACGTGTGCTTCTGTGTATTGGTAGAAAACAATCCCACATCAACATTAATTAGTATAAAACCACTGATTCCAAGATTTGAGTGCTGTTTCATAACTTGATTATTATAAAACTTACCAGTGTTACCTCAAACCTTAATTATCCGCCCATTATCTCTACTGCTTATTTCTTTTGAGGTTGCTGGAAGACTCGAGTCTATCCGAGCTATAGCTGGGTAAGAGTCGGGGTACATCACAGGGCTGACATATAGAAACAAAAAAAAAAACATTCACACACACATACAGCCACAACAGTGAGCAATTTAAAGTGACTGATTAACAAGTCAAGCAGGATTTTGTACTGTGGGATCTCAGAGAAATCATGAAAACCTGATAACATTAAACCCAAAAGTTGAGATATGGTCGCTGCATGCCAATTGACTTTTGCGAGAAAAGCTTTCGTATATTACTTTTTGATAATGACAAGTACTGTAATTTATTGGTGAGAAATAACACCAATCAAGCACATAACATTGATTTCTTTAAAGAATAAATATAGAGTACTCTTAAAAATAATTCCAACTGAGCAATAAATGTGTGACTAAAAGGGTCATTCTATGAAATCGGTGCCTTTTGCGAACCCCAAGAAGTAATCATTCATAAAATTATGATAACAACAAATTAATATGTAATTTAAAAATATAAGATTACCATGTCCTCTCTCCTTAATGTGACATCAAATTAAAGTAAATTAAATATCATTTTAAATAATTAAAATTACTTTTATGCTGATGAGGGTGAGGTTTTTGGCCTGTCCCTCACTACTATTGCTGCATGTATACAGGACTTTAAATTTTTAAAATGTTGGCAAAATGTTAAATTTTATATATTAGTCATTACAAATATTAACCAATTTATCAGCGTCCCCTGATTTCACGTCGACCCTGTTACCCTAACTAAAAAAATAAGTCATTACAAAGGCAATGGGGACATACAGAGGTGTTCTGCTTCGGTTTTGCTGAAATTTTTCGAAATAAAAAAAGAGTAACTGCAGCTCTATTTGACGTAGTTACTACGCAAGTGAGGGAGGGCAAAGGAAGGATTTCCTGTGTTGGTGGCGGAGGGATACGTGTGTGCCGCCGTGACTCGCCCCGTCGAACATGAGGAGATTTCCCATTAGCGGCGGAGTGATCTGAACTAGTAGCTTCCTATACAATTCAGTGAGAAGTCAATGTGAATCTGCAGCAAGGGGAAAACATGGCGACTTCACAGCATGAGGGGCACGCAAATCAACTCGATCTACTTATCAGAGCCGGTAAGGTAGCTTTATGTATTTTAAGTCTCGGTTGAGGTGTTTACGCCAGGATTTGTTTTGAACCTCGATCGCTGCGTCTCAGTCCGCTGACTAGTGTGGAGAAGTAATGGAGGGCAATCAGGAAGTGATCACCTTGGTAGCAACCTGCATGGCGTTGCTACGCGGTTTTATAAAACACTTATTTGAGAGGTGAAAAGTTTCTCGGGGCTTGCAAATTTGCACAATTTCGCGTTGAATTGCAGCGAGTATGTTTTGCACGTTGGAGCTTGTCTTTTTTCCCACTGTGGTGTAAAGTAACGGTCTGCAGATTGGCTCTGCACAACCAGGAAGTGTGAAGATGTTGTCTTTCCTACGTCTTTGCCACGCTGTCTGAGTAGGAAGGACATGCGGGTTTATTATTACTGCAATAAATCTGATACACGCTGTCACATTCACCACCGAATATTATATTAATTACAAGATATAGACCTTTGTGTGTGTGGATGGGTTTTTGTTTGTTCTGATTGTGAAAAATATGTACACATAAAATTCAGACGGCGCTTCTAGAGAAGAAAAAAGGTTTTTAAAAATATCAAGGAGGGTTTAATTTTGAAGGGAATTACCATGTGCCTTTTGAAGTAATTTTAAAGTCAGGTTTTGGGGGTTTTAGGGTCTCGGTTGTCGTGTAGTTTTGCCTGTGATTGAAGCGTGGGATGGCCTGTCTCTCACTCTCTCTCTCCTTCGACCACTCTGACCCGCATAAACACATTTTATGTAATTTATCACCATATTCTCTGTTTCTGTTAATATTCGACCCTCTGTGGAGACATTATGCCGTTTATAGTGCGACTTGAAAGCAAATTTCAAAGTATTTTTGTCTCTTCTCGATGGCGGAAGCATTGTGCATATGAGAGGGCGTGGCGTGCCTTTGATTGATGTGCCCGTTTGTCCAATGGTGTGCGCGTCCAATCAGGTTTAAGCAGGGGCGGGGAGTTATTCTGCAAATAAGCCAATAGGAGGCACGTAGGGTGTTGAGTGACAAGAGGATTTGTGAGCTTCTTCGAAGGGAACTGGAGGGAAAGGATGAGCACTGTAAACACGGAAGTCATCAGAGGCAGCACTACTTTTTGTCGGACTTGCTTCTATTCTTGGCGCCGTTTCATTTTGGTATAGAAATAGACTGATTTAAATAACTGAACACGTTTGCTGTCCATGTTCTATACATACATTACAAAATAATCGATGTTCTTTATTGTTATAATTTACTAGTAAACAATAAAACAAAAGCCAATAATTTGTACTGACTAGAAATGGCAAAATTGCGTGTGTCTTTTTATTGCTCAGGTCCAGGTGATGTTCTGCCACATTAGACTTTTTATGACAGCACAGCTGCCAGGTTTCAAGGGCAGCTCAGCTGGCTATAGGGTCTTTGCTGTGATGTCCTGTTTGTTTGTGAGGGGGACTCAATAAGTTGGGCAATCTAAAGATAGCCCATGTCTCTCCCTTGTGCAGGGCCTGTTGCCTGAGCTAGATAGCCAAACATGGACAGGGCAGGGTGTAATAGGATCTAATGTTTCCCACCAGTGATTGACACCCACAGCTGGTGCACTGGGCTCTTTCTCATGGTCCCAAATGGGGATACGTACCATTTCTTCTCACCAGGCTGAATGCCACTTTTGATTTAAACTCCATTGTTTTTTTGTGTGTGTGTTATGTCATGGCACTTTTTAAACAATTATCAACATTCACACATCATCAACGTGACCGGCTGTAAATGTCATGTCTGCATGCTGGTATAAAAGAGGAGCTTACAAAGGTTTTGTTAAAGCAGTACACTCAACTAACCTGGGTCTTTCTGCATGCCGCTCTTTAGTGTTCTCTAAACTTTAAACCACAGCCAGAATGGGCATAAACTCTTATCATCATATCTGGATTACTTCTGAGGAAAGATCAGAAGGACATATTACTACTGCAGAGTCTGTAAATAAAGTTCTACTGTCTGTCTGGTGGTTGTGATAACTTTTGAAATTTCAGTGATCTAAATGGAATTTACTTGCCACTAGGGGGTGCTGTATATTTACTTGTGCATGCAACACAGTCCTAAATTCAAATTCAACTTTATTTGTATGGTACTTTTCATACAAAAAAAATGCGATTCAAAGTGCCTCACAGAGGCTAAAAACAACAATAATGACAATAAAACGCAACCCTCCCATCCACACACACACCCATGAACCCACACGCACACAAAGACACACACCGATACTCACTCACCCACACATACACACACACACAACCGCACACAGTGTGAGGATTTAAGATATATTGCTAGAGAGACATAGCCTGACACCGAGACATTACGCGAGGAAAGAGCTACCTCTGGGAAACACTGGAGATAAAAATGGTGAAGAGTAAAACCTGATGGACTAAAACAAGAAAATAATATGAAATGAACAGATAAGTAAAAGCTCTTTACCATATAAAAAAGGGAATAAAAGAAGTAAAAACCTGTGACAGGAATTAAGAAAAAGACTAAGAACAGAGATGATTAATAGAATGACATAAAATAAACATTAAGAACTTTGATTAACATGAACATTTCCAATAAGAGAAATATAAAATATAAAATTAGTCAAAGGCGTGGTTAAAAAAGTGACTCTTGAGCCTCTTCTTAAAAACATCAACAGTCTCTGCAGCCCTGAGGATCTCCGGCAGGCTGTTCCACAACCGGGGACCATAAAAACTGAACGCCGCCTCCCCCATGTGTTTTTGTTTTGACAGATAAATAGGAGGGGCCAAGACCATTAATACATCTAAAAGCTAATAAAAGAACCCTCTTGATAGTTTGCTGAATGTGACCAATGTCTAACTGTTTTTATAACATTCTAATCGGCAAAGTATGAGGTTAATCATACCTTTAATAGTTTTTAAGTGCTTATTTTGTAATCTCTGTGTTCTTATGTGTGTGTGTGTGTGTGCTATCGTGTTCCCTCGGTTGTTTTCTCATCAATAATATTTGCATGTTTCTGTTTCAGTGGAGGCATCTGTCCATGGCACGAGTGTCCACTGCTCTGACAAAACGTTCGAGGCTGCAGAGGCTCTGCTACGAATGGATTCACCTTCCAGCCACAGGGAAGACCGGAGTCCAGGTAAAAAAAATGTAGAACAAAACAAGTCCTGAATCAGTTTTCTTAAACTTTTACGGCTGATCCAAAACTGTGACTATCAAATCAAAGTCAATCAAGTTGATCTTTCTGCTTACACTTAATCTGATAAAGGGAACAAAAGAAATGAAACACAGTGGTGAAGTAGAGTTTTCTTAAATTTGTTGCTTTTAACCTAAAGCACATTAATATGATTTTGAACTCTTCTTAACCACATAGGATGAAGGCATCATACCGCAGCTGGGAAGCATAACTCTATCGAATTTCCCCTCAGGGATAGATAAAGTTCTTCTTATCTTATCTCTTACTCTCCCTCGATTCCTTCACCCAGATGCTTTCATCCCACCACACATAACAACACCAGAGTTTCTTCATGCCGCCATGCGTCCCGACATGATAGCAGAGACAGAGGTGGAGATATCCACAGAGGACTGCTGCGATGAAGAAGAAGATGAGGAGATGGTCACCTTGCTTGAAGAGCCGGACCTGGAACACGAGCCTGTCAGGAAAAAAAGAGGTGACCTTTTTTCACTGTGTTTGTGCGAATCCAGATTTGATCTTGAGAATAAGGGAGCTGAACCCCTGCTATTAAAGAGATGTGGAAGAGAAAACAAAAATATGAAATACTCGCCTCATGCAGTTGTGGACCCGCTGCGTGGCCGGATTGTGGAGAGTTGAAAGCTAAACTTCAAAAATAGGAGAAAGTATGTTTGGGTTGTCTTTTTTTCAGTCAACATTTGAAATGAAAAACATCTGTCAGCTCTGTAATTAACCATCCTGGCATCACTAGCAAGGCCACAAACCTCAGACCACAAACTGGTAATTATAGTTGTCGTGTCTGCCCACAAGCACCATCTAGTGGTGGACTGTTGTGTACTAAAGAAACCAACTTCGACCCCTCAAGTTAGCGATCCCTGTAATTCACTACTCTGGATAAAACTAATGATAATGTCTGATTTTTCACGTTATAGCTGGACGAAAGCCAAAGACGCATCAGTCATCCATTTCAAATGGCTCCTCGGACCTCGGCATTAAAAAGAAACCAAGAGAGGGGAAAGGTACTTCATCCAGATTTTTATCCCAGCTATGACAAACATTGATGCATACTCAAGTCCAAGCAAGTCTTTAATAAAGAGATGATCTTATCAACCAGTAAACGAATATGCTTCATTTCCAGCAGGGAGCACCACTTACCTATGGGAATTTCTGCTGGACCTCCTCCAGGACAAAAACACGTGTCCCAGGTACATCAAATGGACCCAGAGGGAGAAGGGCATCTTCAAACTGGTCGATTCAAAGGCTGTATCGAAGCTGTGGGGAAAGCACAAGAACAAGCCAGACATGAACTATGAGACCATGGGAAGGGCTCTCAGGTAGGTAGTCTGTAGTGAGCTTTATGTATCTACAGCAGTGGCTCTCAAGTCCAGTCCTGCATGTTTTGGATGTTTCCCTGCTCCAACACACCTGATTCAAATGATGAGCTCGTTATTAAGCCATTACAGAGCTTGATAACGAGCTGATCATTTGAATCAGGTGTGTGGGCCTCGAAGACTGGACTTGAGAACCACTGATCTACAGGATGTTTAAGATGATTCTCTCATCTGCCTGTTGAAGACGCAGGACTATAATTTTCCCTTTCCCCTCAGATATTACTACCAGCGTGGCATCCTGGCCAAGGTGGAGGGCCAACGGCTGGTTTACCAGTTTAAAGACATGCCCAAAAACATTGTCATCATTGACGACGACAAGGTCGATATGCCCACCTCTGATGATTTGATCAGTACAGAGACCGCTGCATCCTACGAGCGTGTGATGCCTTCACCAGACATGCTGTCTCCTTCCAAGAAGCCGAACATCCTGCGAGGAGGGAACAGGGCCAATGTGGTCCAGGCTTCAGTTGCCACAGGCACCAAGACGGTGGCAGCAGGAGGGTTACAAAGGATAGTGACTGTCTCAGCGGCACCTGACGGGAGTCAGCAGTCTCAAACAGCCATCATCTCTAACCCCCCTGGGCCCAGGTCAGATGATAACAGTAGCTGGTGTTGTTAGTTTTTAAATGAAGGTTATCCCACATTTACAGAGCTGCTGGGAGTATTTAGACTTTTCCAACTCTAAATATTTTTGTTTGACTCTGTTGATGTTTTAACTCTCGTCTGCAGGACAGTGCGGGTCGCCATGCAGGTGCCAGTAGTCATGACAACATCGCTGGGTCAAAAGATTTCCACTGTCGCAGTCCAGCAGCCGACTGGTACAACAGGAGCAGCTGGGCACACTACCCTCCTCAATAACACTTCAGCTATCAGTGCTGCTGCCAATAATGCAAACCCCCAACAGAAGGTATGAACAAGTGATAACATCACCGCTGAGAGTATCTGCACTACTGCAAGAAACTTACATTTCCATCGGCAGAGACTCCAAACTAACAGTCAAAACACTCAGGTCAAACAGAGAAGCCTGAACACAACGCAAAGGTCGACCAGAATAGATACACATTAAAATGAGTACATACAGTCACTTCATTTACATGATGTCAAGTTACATTTCCCAAAGTCAATTGAACACAGCCTTATCATGAGGTCAGTTTTTGGTTAGATCCTCTATGTATGCACTTGGGTCCACCCCAAACTGGCCTGATCATTTTGCACATGCTCCACAGTTCAGCCCACAGGTCCCACAGCATTACTGTGTGAGAAGGTAGTGAACAAAACCTCAGCAGAAAACGAATAGGTAGGAAACTCAAATGTGGATACAGGGTTTGACATTCACTTTTTTCACAAGAAGTACATGTACTCCTAAGTTAAAAAAGTAAGGAACATACAAAGAACTTTTGGGGCACAATGAAAATTGATCAAATAATGTTTGTCTTATTGGTCGACATAAGTACTATTATTTAAAATCAATTTTAAGGTCTTTTGGTCTCATGACATGGAAGCTATTGAAGAAAATGTTGAAAAATTGACTTTAATTTTAACAGAAATTTTTTAGAGGACAAATTGGGGACATGATGAGGTGTATCTTTTTGTCTGACCTTAGTACTTTTATTTGAAATCAATTTTAGGTCAATTGGTCACATGACATGGAAGCTATTGAAGGAAAACAGCCTTTTCTGAAACACATCAACCAGTAATTTATTGATGGTCCCTTATTCAAACTCGACATTGACAGCGAAGGCTCAGAGTAGATTTAACCGCGCTGCTGTTGCTATTCCCGGTTATGGAGAGTGAGAAGACACCAGTAGATCCGCAGTGAATGTCTGTCGAAAATCCAACCTAAAACTAACTTCACCGCCATATTTACATGAAAAAACATTTGTTGCCCTGGCAGATTTTTTTTATATGTGCACATGTGCCCCTAAATATATTTTACAATTCACACACATCTATTTTTAACTGTAAATGCGAGTGAAACGGTCGCACAGTTGAGTCCTGGGATAGGTATCTTGGTGTGTGTGTATAAGAAAGTACAAAGCTATAGAGTTGTCCTTTTTGTTCCGTTCAACAAACAGCCAGTTAGCCTCCTACTAACATGCCACTTATTTTTGGTTTGGGATGTCAAAGGCCAAGTGGGAGAAAGTCCAACAGTAATGAAGTAAAGGGGATTTTTAAAAAATGGTCATGTTCATTCAAGAGAAATTTAAAAATTTTTCACATTTTTCTCAAACAGGATTTGAAAAACGCTCCAGAACCTTTATGTGGACTTAAATCACAGTTTAGTCACTTTTCTCAATCTTAGTTTTCATTTCATGTGTGATTATTTTGTAGGTTGTGATTCAGACGATCCCCACCATGGTTCCAGCTACAGCAGAGAACGGAGACAAGATCACCGTTCAGCTGGCGAAGATCATCACAATCCCTGCGCACCAGTTAGCTCAGTGTCAGCTCCAGACCACCACAGGCTCAAACAAACCCAGCATTGGGGGCGCCCCAGCTGGCATCAGCCTCATCGGGAGCCCTTTAACAGTGCGGGCCTTGGCGCCTGTCAACGTCGCTCCTGGGACACAAGTGATGAGACTCACCGTGCCAACGCAGACTCAACCACAGACTCTGGTAGTGTCGCAGCAAGGCAGCGGGGCAGGGGTAGTGACCGTATCAACAGCCAATCAGACAGTGACAGCACAACCTAGGATCTTAAGTGGCGTCCTTAACGGATCAGAGCTGATGATGGGAGCAACCGCAACTGGCGGACTCGCGTTGGAGAAACTGAAGGCGGCAGGAGTCCAAGTCCAAGCTGTGCAGGTGCCGGTGAAGGTGGCGGTCCAGCAGAACCAGGCAAACCCTAAACTCGTCCAGAACATCAAAACAGAGGCCCTGGACGCTGAGGTGGTTATCAAACTGGAAGCACCAGATGTGTTAAAGAGAGAAGAGCCCGAGTGTTGAACACACTCTACCTCGAAACCACTCGCCCCCCTCTCTTCCAGGGAGGGTTAGTTTGTAAATCTTACAGGTCATTTTTACTCTTTGATAGCCAGCAGCAGTCAGTAAGACTTTAAAGACTCCTTAACACCTGTTTTTAGTCCTGAACTTGTCCTCATATCTTTCTTGATGCTGCCTAAAACGGGACTGAACCGGTCGCCCTCCGAAACCACGCTGAAAACCTCTGTTAGTGCTCTGTTGGAAGTCCAAACTGTGCTGTGCAGATGAAAAAGGGACTCTTTGGGTAAGGGAAAGGGACCAACCTTGATCACTACATGATTATGCCTTCTGAAAGGATTGCTGTCACTGACCGGGGTGGAAAAAGAAAAAAAAAAAAAAAGGAAAGGACCTTGAAAACACATTAAAGCTGAAACACTACAAAACGAGGCGAAATACTCAGAACTAACCAAAATGTGAACTTTGTAGAAAAAAGACAAAGTGGGGTGTGTAATTAAGTTTTTGTAGAAACCATTAGTTTATTACTCTTCCTCCACTGATATGAAAACCAGCAACCCTTTCTTTGACTCCTATCACTGTGTAGATCAAACGTGGAAGGTGCTACGTAAGTCCTTAAGGAGTGAAAGACGCAAGTGAATCTGAGCAAGGTTCTAAATAAGGAACAATATCAGACAGAAAACGGTCATGTTATGTACATATATACATATATAAATATATTATCTTCTATACAGTTTACGGAGCTAAAGTTAACAGAACAGCCTTAGATTTTAATTTTGTCTTCTTTTTTTCTTTGTAATGTCTGAAGGTTTATGAATCTTGTTTTTTTTTTCCGTTTGATACTTTGTACCAAGCACAGTATTATTAAAACTAGTGGAGCTAATATTTGTACTTTAATCAGTTCCTCTGTCTGTCAGGTTGTTGAATGTTTATGTAGATTCAGTCTCACTGTAGAAATGGCCACACACACAAACAGACGCATAGGCAGTGACATGGGCTGCTGTGTGTCCTACATCATCATGGAAATCTCTTTTTTTTTTTTTTTTTTTTTCAATTTTTAACTTCTTTCACAAAAGTATGTTTTTTTTTTTACTTTTTGTCATCTTCTTAAACTTTAGAGTATTGCTCCTCTCACAGGCCTGCCGAGTGTGTCTGCATGGATCTGCAGGACTGTGTGACTGAGCTGGTGCATGTTGTGAAAGAGAGTGTAAGCACACCAGGAGATCAAGGTTCAAAGGAAGCAATTATTGTAATTATACGAAGCAGCATCTGAAACCACAACTATATGCAAAATGTCTGTTTAAAAAAAAAAAAATCATTTCAAAGCAGGTCACTTTACTGAAAGAGGGTCAATTTGCCAGCATTGCTTTTCTTTTTTACTCCCCCCACCCTTCCCTTAATTCTTTTTTAAAAAATCTGAAATGAGGGAAGATGGAGCTAAGGTGTTTGTGTTCAGACTGAACTGTTTGTATATTCAACATTTGAAGTATATTCTATTTTGCTGTACTCTTGTTTCAAAGTGTATTAGATTTTACTGAAATATAAAAAGACTTCTGAAAGCTGACACTTGTTTTGGTCGATCGTGTTTCATTTTGAGACGTTTATTCTTGAAGGCGGGAAGTTACTGCATCAACTCTTTAAAAATAAACTTTTTTTTAGGCTGCAACTTTAAGTTTCAAGAAGCACATTTAGTTAACAAATGTTCTGAAAGTCGAATTTGTGATAATCCGCTGTGCTCATGAACCTACATTAAGAAAAATCTTATAGCATGAATGCAGTCTGCTTTTAGTGCGGGGAGAGTGGCAGCTAACTGTCCCACCAGACACAGATTGCAAACTAATATAAATCAAAACAAGCTCATCTCAGAACATCTTAAGGACAAAGAGTCACAAATCCCACTGAAAATTTTTTGGTCTAAAAGAGGTCTACTAGATGTCTAAATGTAACCTAGACAACTGGTCTAAAATCAGGCTACCACAGGTCTAAAAATGAATGTTTTTCTAGACATCTAAGTTTAGACCAAGTCTAAATCTGGGCTATATCTACAGTACAGGCCAAAAGTTTGGACACACCTTCTCATCCAATGTTTTTCTTTATTTTTTTATATGACTATTTACATTGTAAGTTATCACTGAAGGCATCAAAACTATGAATGAATACGTGGAATTTTGTACTAATAAAAAAAGTGTGAAATAACTAAAAACACGTTTTATATTCTAGTTTCTTAAAAATAGCCACCCTTTGCTCTTGATGACAAAAGTACTTAGCAGTCACAAACCCACTGAGCAATAGACGGCTATTAGACGTCTAGTTTTTTTTAGACCTAATTTCAACCATCTAGATTCTGTATATTTTTAGACAGAATTTAGACATTGCACTTTAACCCATTATTCAATAACTATTTATTTCAAAAAGCAACTGTGAGTTGCATAACTTTTCTCCAAGCACTTAACCAAAAGAAGTGTGATAGCCGTTGAGCAATATACAGTGTAGTATAAATATAGCCCAGATTTAGATTCAGTCTCAACTTGGTTTAAATTTAGACACCTGAAAAACCTTCATTTTTAGACCTGTGGTAGCCTGATTCTAGACCAGTCATCTAGGCCAGTGGTTCTCAAGTCCAGTCCTCGAGGCCCACTGTCCTGCAAGTTGTGTAACTCACCGTTGCTTTTTGAAATAAATAGTTGTCAAATAATGGGTTAAAGTACAACGTCTAAATTCCGTCTAAAAATATACAAAATCTAGATGGTTGAAATTAGGTCTAAAAAAACCTAGACGCCTAATAGCCATCTATTGCTCAATGGAGTCAGTCAGTCAGGATTAAGATGTTTTACACTTAAATACTGCTGGTTATCTGACAACAACAACAAGTTCAGGAAAATATGCTTTGACATGAGTTGAGAGGTCTAAAGTCATGGCTAAAAGTCAGGACTTTTTAAATAGAATAATTCTTACTTCTATTAGGCTGATTAACAGATTGGTACTTCTGCTCAAGTATAAAAACAACTAAACTCTTACTTGTGAAGGATAGTTTAATACTCTTGGTATGTAGCATGGGAAATATTAACAGCAGTTCTGTACAGTGCAAGTGTTGTCTTTAAGTCAGTCATTGTTTTGTCTGATAAAATCAAGAACATGCACAGTAGTTTATGTGGTTGCACACTGTGTTCTTGAATAGGGACTGTAGCCTTCAGCCAAAGGGTAGACAGACTTGTTTACATCCTCACTGACACAGTTTCTACAGAGCTGTGTGCTAATGCGGGTCAACATGTCTGCTCAATTAGACGCGTTTCAAAGAGATATTTAAACAGTGTATGTGGCTGCATAGTGTCTATATTAGTAATGTTCAGAGGCAACTGGTGACATATGATTTTCTATTTTAGATTAATGTAGCACAATACTCAAAGTCATTATGGATTGAACGGTGTCGCTAATTGTTTGAATCATCTTAATATCGAAAACAAGTAAAGGGTAAGATTGAAGGGAGCGACCAACTCAAATTACATTTTGGACACACTGGTTGGTTCTCAGCCAGTTGTTTTATAAATAGCATTAGGGGCTATGGGTCTACACTGAAACCTGGATCAGCTCAGACATTCATTTCAGAAATGGAATGAAACTAAACAACAAAACAAGGCGTCAGTTTATTTTTATTGAGGCTGTTTCCTGTACGGAAAGACTGTGCGTGTTAAATATGGTTTACCAAAACATTGTTTCTCCAGAAGTGCACTGCAGAAATTAAATTTTCATACAAAAGAGCATTGGCCTCTGTCAAATCAGGCTGGATGCACATTATACCTGCATCGTAACAAACAAAAAAAAAAAGCTATCTACAACAGTAGATACTGCTAGTTACATATTTAATGTGTGACACCAGACCTTTACAGAGAGCATGGTACAGCTACATTATTCTACACCAGGGGTTCTCAAGTCCAGTCCTTGAGGCCCACTGTCCTCCATGTTTTGGATGTTTCCCTGCTCCAACACACCTGATTCAAATGATCAACTCGTTATCAAGCTCTGTAATGGCTTAATAACGAGCTGATCATTTGAATCAGGTGTGTTGGAGCAGGGAACCATCCAAAACATGCAGGACAGTGGGCCTCCAGGACTGGACTTGAGAACCACTGAACTACACAAACATTAAATATGAACCACACACAGTTCAGCAAAAAGATTTTATTACCAGTCACTGTGGGTTGAAAGTAAATCTCTAAGCACTGACTCAACACCTTGTTGAGTGAGGCCCATGAATGGATCTGGTCTGGACTCTGTCCTGTTATGGCTTTGTCTCTCTCAATGTTCTGGGTCATAATTTGAATTTTCACTCCTTCTCCTTGAAACTCAAATCACAGACCAGAGAAAGGTGGTCAGAGGGGTAACTAAAAGATGGGAGCCTGTTTGGCCCTATCTGTTCCTCAGTGGGCATGTCCAAAACTGAGTCCACTCTCAGAGAGTCCTGACTGTACCAGATGTAGTCCAAAGTGCTACAGCACTCCCCTGTGGGCCTGATCTTCCACGTTGTGTACTCAGGCTCAGTCAGACCATCGTGGCTCAGTTTCTTATAAGCAGAGTTCAAACCGAGGGGCGATGCAGCAAAACGACGGTACACCTCCTCAGTCGGGACAGCATTGAAATCACCGCAGACAAGCAGAGGAATGTCAGAGAGAGGGGCACCCATGGGCCCGGCGGGGTGTTTCTGGACCAGATTCTGGAGTTGTCTTAAGAGGTCGGAGCCCTGAGCGCTGCGTAGCCACTCCCAACCAGAGCGCGCCTTCAGGTGGGTCACAGCCACGCAGAGGTATCTCCCCGTGCTCCGACAGCGAAGCATCGTTACCACAGCGACCTGCAGCGAGAGCAGAGTGTTAGAGGGACCTGCGAGGAGCTCTTTGTGTGTCCATGTTCTAAACTGAGTCTACTCACCTGATTGGTTGGTATCCTCATCGCAGAGAGACGTATGCTCACGCTATCCAGGCACTCAAATCGAGACTGATCGAAGAACAGCGCACAGCCGTCAGGCCCGTTGTTACCCTCCACATCCAGGCACGGGGACCAGGGTTTAGGGCAAAAGTTGCTGCTGTAACCCAGACCTGATAGGACAGGCTGGAGGGTGTCATAATAGTGGTCCACTTCCTGCAGACATAGGATATGGGGTCGGTATGTGAGGATCTCCTCTAGGATGAGGTACTTTCTGCGGGACCAGCTTAGAGCCTCCATGGGACACTTGATGAAGCTGTCAAGTCCCTCACCAAGAGCTAAACGAGGAGAGAGAGAGAGAGGCATCCGACTTTAGTAATGAGCTAATGTGGAGCAGCTTCACAGGACTCCTCGGTTCATGATATAATGCTTCACAAAGGTACCTCAAATCAACATCCAGACATGCTCAAACAAATAGACCCTTTAAGCCACAGTACCTTTATGAACAGGTTTAATCTGTTTGTAAAAGTACTTTACCCAGTACAGTTGACACCAAACTAGAATGTTGACCCAAAAGAGACTTCAAGCACACTTGGTCTCTAACGTTTTTGCTTAATCCTTTGTTTTCTGGGGTACCATTTTGTATTTGACGGTTTGATTAAATAATAAACTCCACTACTGCCTGATTTGAAGCCACATGATACATGACGTATATTGCCGATATCATTTTTTATATAGTAAGACTAACAAATGCTGGTATCATTATAATATACTAAAATACTTACTAATATTGCTGACCTCCATTGAATGTTTTATCAAGTCAAATTACAAGTCAAACTGTTACAAGGGCCTTTTGGATTTCTACTATATAAAAATATCCCTTTAATGTCCGAAACCACAAATCATGGCCAAAAAATCCAATTTTTTAGAGCTGAAATGTTTATTCCACTTACTACTGAAAACCAAAAAAATCTAAATGTCCTTAAAATTTAACAAATATACATATTTATTTATCTGGTTTAATGCATAAGATGTTTTTGGAAACTGATAAACTACAAGAGGACATTTTTATCATTTATCGGAGTGTATTCAGGTGTTTTTTTAGTAATTCGATGATCATATTGACTAAATAGAATTATTAAATACAAGTTAAATAGTTAAATACAAGGTAAATATTAAAATGATTAATAAACTGAATCACTCTAAACAAATATAACAGAATGTACTTATAACTTTTTGAGATTGGATATGTTGTCGGATGCATCCGTTAAACCCCCCTGTGACTGTGGATAGTTTTTCATCTGAGAGCACTTTACCTTGGGCCAGTATGTTCCACTGCATCACCCTGATAGGGCTGCTGGAGGCGCCGTCTCCATCACTGAGGAAAGTGAACTTTCTGTGGATTCTTGGGGGCCTGTCTCTGAGGGCCTCCTCACATTGTCGAAGCAGGTCCACCGGATCAGGGGGGCATAAAGAGGACCCCTTCTGCTCCTGAGAGGCAGAGATGACACTTGTTAACAAGTATTTGACCCCACAGTGCAACACAAATGATCCCTTTTTGTCAGTGTGAACAGCGGACAGATTGAGAGTCACCTGGCAGAAAACAGGATCCAGGTTTGTGCCCACAGGCTGGCAGGGGCCCAAATGGGACGGAGGGAGAGGGAGAGGTGAGCTGTTGCTGAGCATTGGAGTAGGAACGCTGTACAGTCTGGTGGCCCCTCCACCCATCGGACACACTGATGAGAAAAAGAAGAAGGAGAAGAAGGCCAAGATGATTTTGATTTCAGATTAAGTTTGATAACAGGGAGAAATCAAACATTGTGATTATTTATCACACTGACAAATTCATCTGATGAGCTGGTAAAGATTTCTTTCTTTTGCCGATACTCGTTTTTTTCTCAGCACGGTGTTTTTGTATGCGACATGTTTCAAACCTGCATTTTTTTGTTGCTGAAAATGGAGCTTGTGCATTTGTGATCAAATTTTAGTTTCAGCTTTGAGGTCACTAAAAGTTTTATGCTGTTTATAAAACTAGGAGTTCATGACAAAAACGCAACGGGCTGACCTAAAAATAAATGTTCTCATCTTTTTTTCCAGTTAAAAGAAAGCATGAACTCACAATCTGCATAAAACTGATCTTAAACTCTTGTAAACGTATCTCTTCTACTCTGTTAGAAGCAGCTTTGTTGGGTTCACCATGTAGTGAAGAAATCCCTGCTCCAACACACCTGATTCAAATGATCAGCTCGTTATCACGCTCTGTAATGGCTTGATAACGAGCTCATCATTTGAATCAGGTGTGTTGGAGCAGGGAACCAATCAAAACATGCAGGACAGTAGGCCTTGAGGACTGGACTTGAGAACCACTGCCATAAGCAACCCCTTTCACAGCACACATGCCGTCATTTGATCCCTTACATAAAAGTATTGATCATCACAGTTTGAAATGGCTCACACCAACTTGTTTACTGTCGAATAACTAGACAGTCTGGGCATCCTTAAAGACCAGAAATGTTTCAATTTTCAGTTCAAGTTCTCAGAGGTCACAGCAGATTATAGTATGCACAGTCACCTGTGCACGTGCTCAGAGGCACCATCTGCCTGAGTTTGTGCCTCATGACTCTTTCACAGGTTGGCTGCTGGTTTGTGAGAACTTTGGTCTGCAGTGGGTCAAACTTAAGTGGGTCAAATTCACTGATAGTGCAGCCGAGAGGCACCATGCTTGTTGACTTACAGTTGTGGCAGACGTGACATTCAAAACACTTCAAATGTTTGACCTGAATGTTACAGATTTCTCTTACTTCTCTATTGATAGGTTATCAGATATTTGTGGTATTTTCCGTTATGTTTATGCTTTGATTATCAACCGTTTCATAAAACTCATTTGCAGGATGTTGTTTACTGTTAAAGTATTCCTGTTTATTTAAGTCCACACTAATAAATTCACATAAAAAACATAAACAATAAAGAGGACTTCAAATGAAAAGGAAAACTACCGACTTCAAAAGTGTAGGTTTTGTTTAAAGTTACCTTTGATCAATACTTGAATGTGAATACACTGCTACTTCTAAATGATACAAAACAAAGGAATTGTTCTTAAAGTTTAAAACTTTTATCCAGAATTAAAAGTTAATATTTATATTGTGTATTTATGTTCTGCAAATATGAAACAAAAAATACTGAATACGTTCTCCTATCCTCTGATATGAGACTGATCTCTCCTGCAGACCAGAACCATATGACTAAAAAAGGAGTGATCAGATCCTGTTTGACTACTAATGTTTAGGACTGCAGGACTGGACTAGCAGGGTGTCTCTGTGGTCCACATAAAAAAACACAGCCTGGTGCATTAGAAATAGCAACATAAACAGAGCTCTAAGTGGTTTCAGGTTTTCCATCCACGCATCACGTACCAGTCTTTGCTCCACTACCCGTACACATCCGGTCTTTTAAGTTACGTCCTTCAAAGACATTCAGCGGACACTACACATCTGAACATGATCTCATGAAAAAGATTAGCTGCCTTACCCATGGTCTCCATCTCTTTCCACAGCTTTGTCTTCTCTGCACTTCACTAAATTGTCTTTCACTTCTCTTTTTAAAGATTCAGTTACACAAAGAGGTACTGGACGTTCAAGTCAGCTGATCCATGTTTCCCTTTTCCACTGCAAAAGCAGACAGTGAGCAATGTGTTTATCTCTGAGTGAATGCAGAAATCTGATCTCCCACTCCTCACTGCTGCCTATAAAACCCCAGTGAGAGAGAGGGCGAGAGAGCAAGAGCAAGAGAGAGAGAGAGAGAGAGAAACGGGCAGGGGGAGATTAGGAAGTATGGACGTCATCAGGCCATATGGAGTATTACAGGTCATGTGCTGGAGAGGGAGAGAAGGACACACTGTGCATCACAAACTGCTCTCTCACAGTCATGCAGACACATCCAGGAGCGGAGTATGTGATGGATATGTCACCATTGAGAGTGATTGTGTTCAATTATCCAGGCCAGGAACAGAGAAGAGGATTGGTGGTTTTCACTGATTCACAGCTCATTAGTGTTTGATTCTAACAGCAGCTTGAGTGAACAATAACACTGAGAGTGTGTGAGAGAGAGAGAGAGCATGTGTTAGTGTGCATGCACATTTTGCAATAATTCCTTCCTGTGGTTGCGAGTTGTTACAGCCCTCAGTACACTTCGTTCACAGTTTACCGTCATGATTGTTGCATTAGCGCACAGCGTTATTTTCCACATGGCACACTGAACTTTTCCACCAAGACAGATGATCTCAAAGTAACAATGAAATCACAGCATGAAGGGGCAATTCTCAGTCTGTGGTTTGAGACCCCCATAATTGAATAAGAATTCAGAGGGAGAATATATTTCTGCAGAACACAATGAAGTCTTGATGTATGTGAACAGCTGCTGCTTCATATACACACAGACAGTCACACAGTGATCAACAGGTTACAGTTTTTCAACAGCCAATGCTGACACCAAGACTAAGAGAGCAGGTTGGCTAAAGGCCGACATATAGTGCAGATATTCAAAATTTGGCTGAGTTAAATATCACAAGGCCTTTTTATATTTCTACCCTGCTTTCTTAAATAATTAAAAAAGAGAAAAATGTCAGTAAAAGAAAAACACATATCTTTTTTTCCCCCAAGCATTTCAAAATGTAATGTACATACTAGTGATCTAGGGCAGTAATATGTCGTAGGTGCAGTGTTGTTTTCGTCAACACCCCTTTTTTCCAGGACAAAGACGTGACATCAACGAGCTGAACATAAGTCTTAGATGACTAAAATGTGATGAGATGAATGTGCGTTGACGAGACTATACGAAAATGTTAGTGGTGGATGACAAACAGAGTTGCAAAACTAATGAGCATTTCGTCAGTCAAACGCTAAACATCTGTTCTGCGGTGTGGTTTTCGTTGACGTTGACGAAAATATTTCATCAACGTCATCGTCAACGAAAACAACACTGTGTAGGTGGAAAAGAAATCATTGGGTTAGGCTTTAGGTTTCAGAGTATGGCTGATATTACTCACAGAAGCGTGTATGAATCCATACATCATCACAGAATTTACACTACACACTTGACAGTGACTGTTTCATTAAACTTGCTGTCAATGGAAATTAGAAAAATTTGTTTTTTCAAAAGGTCTTTGAGATATTGACCTTGTGATGGCTTAAATCAGCTATTACAAAAAATAATAATCGGTCAACTGATGAAACAGTCTACCTGTACTTTCTGCAACTAGTTCAACAATCAGGCCAGAATTCTAACCTACCTGTACTATGTTCATGGGTTAATGATAGCAGGCTAACGTGCTAAACTGAGATGTTGAGCAGCAAACATTTAGTCTGATCATCCTCACTGATTTAACTAACACTGTTACTCAGGTGGGAACCTCCAGGCTCAAGTGTTTCCCTGAAGACTGGCTCCAGAAACAATGGAAACCACACCCAAATGCTATACTATTTATAACTCATTTCCTTTTAAAGGTATGAAGGTTAGATCTTTGCAGCTGCTTTGACTGACAGGTGGCCACACTGTAGCTGATAGGACACTCAAGGCCCACCTAGACTCCGCCTCTTTCCTCTTGGTAGGGGACCAAAAGTAAGGTTGACTCAGCATTTCCAGCACGTAGTCTGCTGTCTGATATAGAGACCTGGAGGGGCACAATTATTCATTTTTATATGACGGCCTGTATTATATACTTGACTCTGATTGGTCAAAACCCAATAACAATGGCATTGATTAATAGAATAACAACTGGCCATATTTCAGAGAAGCAACAGGTATACAACTGATCACACTTGAACACGGCAAATCAATCAGTGGGTAGGAAGGTTCATCTAGTGCACTGTATATGATTTCACCTTATCCGTGTGACAAAAACATAACCTTGAGATTGCATTAATGGAAAACATGAAAACACAAATCTTGGTTACAAGCTGAAGACGAGAGGAAGAACTAATCCGAAAATAATGAGGGGTGTGAAAGAGGAAGAGACATCCAACAAACTGAAGAAAATGAAGTGCAGAACAGTATTGGGAGTGTTATGGTATGAAAATATCATGGAGGACTCCATACATCTGCTTTTGTTATTTTCTGGATCTACAAGAATGAATATATGTTTAGACTTTATCTTGAGCTTGATACTTAATGTCAAATTCACTGTATCTTTAGTTAAGGAGGATAATGAGTAGTTAGCTAATGGTTATGCCACACAGAATTCCAAAAAACTCTGATCCAATGTGAGGTTTAGCTTTCAGATATTTTCAAAGATTTATGTGATGTAAGTTCGACATATGATGTGTTTGGGATCCAAACATGATAAATCTGAAAAACACCAATAATGGAGGGTTATATAGAGCAGAGTCTGCTGCCAGTGACCTTTACAGATGACTGTATCTGGATACTGTGGTCTTTAGGAAAACAATCAAAGTGAAGGGCAGGTAAAGACTAGATTAGAGTCTTTCGTTATCAACAGAGAGTATTTGAAATGTTATTTTTCCTGCGGTACAGACCGAGCACACATCAGCTACAGACTGCAAACACTCTGAATAAGAATGTGAAAGTGGAAGGAAACTGTTCTTTCTGGGTCTTGATTAGCATTCTGCACAGGTTTGTCTGCGATGTCCACCTGTTCGCCTGTGTGAATTAAGAAACAGGTCGAAATCCTGCGCTTGGGTTTACTGCGTGATCAGAATAACTGTTTCATTCGCAGTAACAAAGCCCGATACTTCCTCTTTATCAGTGTCTCCTAGTTCAACAGATTGGAGTCAAGAAACAACCATTTTTATGGTCCGCTGTGTTGCTTTGACGTCAGCACAGTGCCAGCTTAGAGATAAACAACTAACAGCTCGGTTAACTCGATGACTCACATCTGTATACTGGGGATGGAGCATTGTCTCTACAGATTGTGACAGGTCACGACACTTCATGAGAGGCAACAGTGTGATGCTGTAATACGTGGCTTTCACAGCACGGGGCTTATCTTTAAGACACAGAAAAGAAAAAAACTCTTTCACAAGAACGCTGTGCAACTGTGGGGAAAAGAGGGTGAATGAGCGGTCATTGATTAGATATCATTCTGCTGTTCAAGAAAAAGCATTTACAGCATTTCACCTCACCTCAGAGCAGATTAACTAGAGGGTAGACTGGGTGCATGAAAAATGAACAAAGAGGGGGTTCTGCATATTCATATGTTTGTGTGTGTTTATGTGCATGTGTGTTATTGTGTGTATGAGTGTGAGAGAGAGAGAAAGAGGGTCATTTTACTGGGACATTGACATTTCCACATTGAAGGGCAGCTGTCTTATTATGTTACGATATGTGGGTGTCGTCTGCGTGTGTGCACGTCACGACAACTGAACTACTTCACTTTGGAGGTTCTATTTGTGGTCTTAAAGGACCACTACTGCGTATCAACAAAACCCTTTCTTCTTTCTGAATGGCCTAGAGCTACCGTATCTATCAGGTCATAAAACTACTCAGACATAAAATCTTCTTCTCTTCATATCAGCGTGTGCACTCAGACCATGCATGAAAACAATATTGTCACCTTCATGTAAACACTCTCATCTCTCTTGAGTGTACAGCAAAGATGTGCCTGTCTGTCTTTGTACATTTTTGCTTTACATTTTCACCCTTATGTTCTCCTCGCGACGAAGATCATTTGCCCTTGATACAGCTCATGGAAAAGGGATTTTTTTCAATGCTCAGATTCTGGTTTGAAACATCCTCCTGCTCACTACTCCATCTATGAAGCTACAGTGGCCTCTGAGGACAAAAAGCTCCTGTGACCCAGGCTTTTATCATGAAAAAAGTCGACCACTACAAATTCTTTTGCACACAATGACCACTTTTATTCCACTTTGTTCTTCAAGCTCAAGCTTTATTACACAGACGCTCACTACATTAAAGTTGCATATTACTACTTTGTCCAGTCTAGGGATGCAACCGTCCCATATTTGGATCTGATATCGGCTTTGATATTGACAAATTAACTGGATCGGATATCTGATGAATGACACCGATCCAGCGTTCCGATCCACTTTTTTTCTTCTTTTTATTATTATCATACACAGCAACGCAGTGATTCTGTTCACTCTATATTCTATGTCTGTCAATCCTTTTGCACTAAATGTTTTCATGGAAGTCTTACTTCTTTTTGCTGTGTGCTAATGTGCAATTTGTTATTCGTTAATAAATAATGTTAATTAAATTTAAATCTGTGTTAATTTGTTACCTTTTTAAAAAAAAAGGCTAATGCCAAGCCTGATGCCTTCACTCACAGGGCATGGTATACAGCTCATTCATTCAACAGTCATATTGGATCGGTATCGTATATTGGCCGATAAGCTCACCCCAGGTATCGGTATCAGATTGGATCGGAAAAAAAATGGATCGGTGCATTGCTAGTTCAGTCTGTGCTTCAGTAGAAGAACGTGGGTGTATGGCAGCCTCTGTGAAAGGGGACCCACCTGTGTGGATTAGAGGCTAATTTGAAGCTGACTAGAAAAAAGATAACTTTCT